CAAAAGTACTCACCAGCATGTGCATTGAACATATTCATTGAACTCATCCGAGTAAACGTCTCAGATAGTAGCTAATGTGAATTACATGATCTATATTATGACAGCTTCTTCCTGAGCATAGCTAATCCGTGTAGCATCAAGATCTGTCTGGATGAGGAGATGTCCGCACATGTGAGGTTATAAGGGAAATCACAGCAATCTTTAATGACGGCTCAAAGGATATGATATGTGTTATTTATCATGTTCGACACAACACTCCAAATGCAAACTACCCTCCCATCTGCCTTCCGTAAAGCCTTTTCGTAGTGATCACACCATGGAAGTGGTCGTCTGTTTTATTTTCCATTGATGTACATGATTTTTATGGCTCATAATATTGCTGCGTGATGAAATTACCTATATGTTGTATATAGTGTACGCTTCACCCAACGACATCTACTTCCTTAATCCTAATCCATGTAGGAGAAGAAGACATGTCGTACTTGGCAAAGAATTCTTACGACTCCTTCAGAGAGACGATGTCGTGTGCTGGCGGCAGGATATCGTGTTCGCGTGGCTAGTATAGGTTTACACTTTCATTGAGACGATTTAGAAAATTAACTTAAAGACATCATTATGATACGAGGATGACTCTTGGTCTTTTATTTTGTATGAATATATCATCAGGTAATAGAACATCCCGTCAATATATAGTTGGTACAAGCATTATTTGCAGACAAGCCAAAGGACTATCAAAGAAAGAAGTTAGAGAAAGCCATACTTGGAGTATATAGTAAAAGCAAACAACAATTGAATCAATCACTCACACGTATTTCCTGAACAGATCGTCGCGGCCCCTACCCTACCCTCCCATTGCTGGGAGAACCTCCACTTTCGTCTGGGCTCCAGAACCTATAATAGATGCAATTATCCCCTCGCTCGCTCTTCAGACGTTTTCTTGTGTATATTTTGCCACTAACCTTTCTCTGTGACGCCTCCTCTTATCCGTGTACGTGACCTCACCATACTGCCCAATCCCGTATGGCTGCCTGCTACGGCGGCATGACCTTGACAGTCATCGCGTTTAGTTGTGGCCGCGCTCCACTGCATAGTCTCTACGTGTTGCCGACCCGTGCCCCGAATCTAACGTCTACGCGCGGCCGGTGGTCAGTTTATACGAGTCATTCTAGGACTCAGCAAGCGGTCACAGGGAGTACAGGATCAAGAGGTGGGCGCAGGTCACGATTTACTGGAGAGGTGCATGCGCAATCGAACTTACCATGCTTTCGCTCTTCCACTCGCAAGGTAAACCAAAATTTCTTTCAGGCCTTCCGGCAAAAGAGAAAAAGGTTAGGCATCGCCCAATCCGCGAACCAATCCTGATAAATCTTAACAACTACAGCAACGAAAGCACGTAGAAAATCAAGTTATTAGACGTAAATACCAGAAGAATGCTACCCTCGTTGAAGAAGCACAGATAAAAAATAGTTACCCTGTAGTCGTCACGCATATCCGTCCGCCGCCGCTACTACTACTACTACACTACACACGCAAAATCAACGACAGTGACTCAAAGAAACGTTGGTGACGCATTGGAAAAAAAACAAGTTGGAGATCATTGAAATTTGAAAGGTGTTTTTTAGAAGAGAAAGATTAAAATAAGAGGAAAAACTTACACTGTAAAGGTTCCATAGTACACCGCGTGTGTCAAAAGCAGATTCGCCGACAAGGGTTCATAAAGAAAGCGAATTGCCAATGGAGTATGTGTTAGAAAAAAGAACTCTTTTGAAAGAGCGAGTGAGGAACTGATTGAAGTAACTCGTTCGCGCATTGCTCTACTTACATACCCAGTTTTGTTGCCATCACGGTTCTTGTTGAAGAAAGAGACAAGAGTGGTGATGAAAAAAGCTTCACTTGACTGTCTAATTATTGAAACAACGACACAACCATGGCGCACTGCCTAAGCCTTTCTGCTTCGCTGCTTATTTTTGCATGGGATATCATTAAGAGAGAAAAGAGGTTTACACATACACCGAGTATCTCCATGTCTCCCGGTTCGTGCCTCGTCTGCATTACACCCAGGTTTCACCTTGGGACTGAGCTCCGCACCCTTTGCAGGTACCGCTATACTCGCACGGATAAACTAAAGAACCGGATGTGTCATGATCACCTCCTTACAACATAGCAATCGTTGCCATCGTTACTTCACCTCACATGCTGCTGCAGAACCCCCGTGCTTAGCTCACATAGCTTTCTCTATGTGTTTGTTATCAAAACACACCTCCCCTGGCTAGTAGTACCTCCGCCTCTTGTGCGCCCTCTGTGTAAGCTTCAATTCACTTGCACGATTAACCATCATCTCCCAGTTAGTGCATACTGATGAGTTGACAGTGAATTTGGCATTATCATAGTAGTCACTAGAACAACTTAGTACTTTGGCGCTTTTGTGTACCCATCGCTATACCTCTATTAACGAATCTCCTATTCTATCTTTCTTCCCTGTGTATTTCGTTTGTCTACTTTTTACACTGTAAAGCGTCAATCAGTAGCATTGGTGCGTATTGTATCTGTTGTTTCGGCCCCAATTCTACCACTGACACAATAAAAAAGACGGTTATTTTGAGACAATTTAAGTCTACACACATCAGTACTTTAAGCGTAAGTGGGAGGCGTACGCATAGATTCGTATCCAAACACTCTGTTTTTCCGCCTTACAATACAAATTAGAATGTGTATTTGTTCGTTGCTTTTGTTATCACCCCTGTACAAACTGTTGCTACCCGTATCAGTAAACTCGGTAATACATCATTGGCTTGAGACCGTGATCCGACAAGCGATCAGGATCTAAGCAATTCTTCCAACCACCTTGCGTTTCTCGGGGAGCGTTCAACTTTTCTGGAGCATGCACATTTGCGCTTGTATATTTAGTCTTCAGCCTTCAACTTTTCAGGAATTATTTAATATCAGTACATTAAAATGCGCCACGATTTGAGACGAACGAACATGTTGTTAAAAAAAAAGATCCGGATAGCGACTGCCATTTCTCCTTCTTCTCGATCATCATCCTCGTAGTTTCGCAGCTCTATGAATCTATGCAGTCTATTCACAAGGGTGCTCTCGTATCTGGAAGAACCACATACCTTTGTTTTACGCCGCCATTTCTGTGATTGCTTACACATGAGAATACAGTCGTAAGCGGAGGAGATGAGATGGCTCGGTTGTTGCGCGCTTAATACAATTTACTGATGAAGAATCATATATCCGTAAGTAAAATCACGCGTATAATAATATTATTGCATCGTTTACTCACACATTCTTTAACACCTCGTGCCACGCCAACTCTTACCAACAAAAGTAAGCTGACTGATGCAATTGGCAACTTGCATTGTATATGTGTATATGTGTATAGCACGATGTGCCACATAAATTAGTCATGCAGGTTACGCGACAGAGATAATGCGAGGATGATAACTAAAATGATAAAAGGGTCATTCTTCGCCTGTAAGCGCGAGGGAGAAGTAACGCAAGCTCAATCGCCATTGACAAGGTGGAATCCGTTTACGAAAGACGAATGGTCAAGAGGAAAGGGGTACTTTTTGAAACCGGAGAATAGCGGGAAAAAAGGCATCCTACTTGCGTTATAAAATATCGTATAAGCCCTTTTTAAACCAAGCTTTGACAATGCGAATCCGCAGCAGTCAGTCAAGCTTGAAGTCAAGCGTGTTTCAATTGCTGCCGTTGGTGGTCATTTGTTTCAAACGGATCTTGCATCACAGAAAAGAAAAACACAGACGCAACCTCGTTTTTTTACTTTTAAGAACATTAGCAGGGTCCGTGCGTAGAGAGCACGGTGTCAAAGAGTTGCCACCGCTTTATATGCACTTGAAAAAGATCCTAAGTCTTAATCAGTACATTCACAAACAAAGTACAAAAGTACATGACAAGGTCGATCGATACGCGAGAGATCTTTCTTTGTGATTTGGGATGGCATTACCCAACGATAGATTAAGTTTCCGTTATAATAATAGTCAAACATAGAAAGCTTCTCTTGTTGATTATTATCTTTTTGTCATTTTCTTATTGTATTTTAAAGAGAAACCCTCTTTTCTAGGAAGTTCCAATAGAAAAAGAGGGGAAAAACTCCTGCTGTCTCTTTTTTCCAGGAAAACAACAAAACCTGATCGAAGACGCAGGTAGTGAATGGTCGCTACGCAATGAGAGACCTTCGCCATTCACTAGTGGCGCCCGTGCCGTGTGTGCCCACAACGTCAACTAAGCACAAAGATGCCTCAAGGTTGTTGTACTACGTTGGTGCAGCCCTAGGGCATGCTTCCAACAACCTTGCTACCATTGAAGCATCTTTCGGGTAGAATATATCCACCTCAACCTGGCTAATAGCTTTCCAAGTCAAGGATTCACACAACACTTTGCGCTTCATAAAGTTTGTGTAAATGGAACTGGAGAAGAAAAAAAATGGGAGGGGTGGGGGGTTTTTTGGTATTCTTATCCAGACGGAAGCTATAGTTATCAATATCAGATGTCGAGCAGTACAAATTTTATTATATGAAACACAATTAGTGGACAATAAAGACAAATAATAAGAACGCGATTTTACAAAGTGCCCTCAACAAGCAGTTCGCACAACTTGCAGGCTATACAAAAAGCATGAAGAAAGCAAGAAGAAACAGAAGAAGTATGTATGTAAAAGGGTGAGGGAGGGGAAAACCACCAAATGCCTCTGTCTGAGTGTCCCAGTCTCCCAATCATTTGGCTTATTTGAGTCAATCAACCACAAACCCAAGCCATCATTGGTACCAACGAGCGGGAGCCACAGCGTACACATAGTTTGAGAGTGAAGTGAAAGCAATCGGTTGAAGATTGCTTGTGAGTGGAGAAAGTGAAAGGAAGGACGGAAGGGAGGGAAGACGGAAGGAAGACGGAAGGGTAGACCGAAGGGAAGCACGGGAGAAAGAAGGGAAGAGGAAAGGGAAGGGGTAGGGGTAGGGGAAGGAATTGACTCTCTAAACACCCAAAAGGACGGCCATTTGCTGCTGTTGTCGAATGCTGGAGGAGCTGCTTACTGGATACTCGGATGCTGGGAGCCGAACACTGAAGCTGGGAGCTGATTGCCGAGCGTCGATTGCCGAGAGCCGAATGCCAGACAGTCGATTGCCGATAGTGAGTCCTAGGAGTCGAACGCGATCTACAGTGGCACCTGGCTCCTCATTGCGAACCCCACCATGGCAGACTAGACCAGACAAGCAGACAAGGCATCCAACCGAAAGAACGCTACCATAAGTCTATGGCAAAAAACAGAGAAGCATTTCTCCGCCCTCTGATCTCGCCTGGAGACCGGTTGTGACCAACACCGTTGAACGCCAGACTAGACAGCCCAAAGCAGGGGCCGGTTGTAGGCAGCCAGGGGGACCACGGAAAAAAGGCCGAGACCAGGACCGGCAGAGGCAAGACCAGAACCAAGGGAAGAGCCAAGGGAGTGAAGAGAAAAAAGGAAATGGCCCGAAAAATGTGGGCGTTTTTTTTGGATTCAACCCTTGGGCTTAAAAACACGTCACCTGGCCTGTGATCCGTCAATCAAAAACATGTGAGAAAGCAAACGGTAGGGAAGAAAAAAACATGTGCAGAAGAGACATGGTCAAGCGGTCAAGCGGTCAAGAAGAAGGCGTATGTGGTTCGCGTGTATTGATTGTCCTACGAAATATGTTTCATCGGTATCATGCAGGGCGTGCCCCGACGGTGTCGCCGCCTGTTTTTAAATAGGAAGATACGTGCACCCGTCAAGCCACAAGGTGCGCACAGACACGGTTTGCAGGGTCTCAGCAACAAGATTCCAGAGAAAAAGTCAATGGCAGGTGCCGGGATTGGTTGACATAAATAAAAGCCATGTACACTAAGAAATAATGGCGCAGAAGTTGATGACAGAAGTTGCGTTTGAAGTGGAAGTAAGACAAGAAGGAAGAAAGTGCGTTTGGTTACAGCCAACTGCTTTTATGTCTCCTCAAATACATTCTTTTTGGGAGTCGCAGAGCTCACGTCCTACACACACCTTGAAAGTTTACATCGCACCATTGCAATGGCCGGTCTCCTTTATCCTCTTGGATGTTGGTGAATTCAGTCCGTCCCTCACCAGTTTAGTATATTGGAGGCGAAGATGGGTTTACCGTAAAATCTAATTTACTGTTACTCAAATGTAGAAAGTACCAGATATAGAGTCATTTGATGTGTTCTCTATACTAAGAAGTGCAGTTGGATGTTTCTTATCTCCAGTTGCTTTCTATCAACTTTGCGTTATTATGTGTTGAATGTACCAGTTTTTTTCTTGCGCTCCCTCTCTTTCAAGATCAAATTTGCGCAAACAAGTATAAATGTCACCATAGAACACACCACTTCCATCTTTATATTTTTTAGGGCTCTTTGTTGCTTCTATGAGATTAAGTTTTCTTCTTCCTTTTAAAGTGCTACTACAACCTCAAATTAAGCAGGCAACACCGTCATTACTGCATTGTAGGCCCCTCTTTCTCCCACGACATCTCAATCTTACATACATCACCAAGTACAAATCCAGACAAACATTTGGAGTTTTATACTCTTACCTTCTGTAGGATTATACTGTAGTAGTAGCCATAGTAAGTGAGCACGGCACTAGGGCTCCTTCAGTGGGGCCTTCCTAAAAGATACTGTTTTTTACCCCCTTTTTCTTTCTTGTTGTTGTTGTTTATTCTTTCTTTTTAGTTCCGATGTCATTATGGTCAGGCATTGAAAACTCAAGAGCCGACGCTATAACGCAATGTACATGCTTATTACTGTTTAAAACGTTCTCCTACCTTGCCGAGATCCAATAAGTTACGAAATGTAGAAAAACTCTCATATAAGCTACAGAATGTATTTTGCGTTGTAAAATCGCAGCGACAAAATGGAGGACGCCGACGATGAATAAACTGACAGCAAGGCAGTCAATGCTATATTCTTTACTCTGTACAGTGTAGGTCCTTGCTTTTGGTAACATTTGAGGGCTTTAATAGAAATGGAGGCTGATATGAGAGAAGAAGAAGAATATTGATGCAAATTTGTATACTGATTTAAATAAACAAGAGCATGGGTCCCTCAAGGTCATGTGCTGCTGACCGATCCGGAGCGTAGACAGTTACATTAAACACCGTCTCCTCTCTATATCCAATCAAGCAGACAACATTAAGTGCATTAGACAGCAGCATATATACATGTGCTGCTTTCCCACAAATGTCGAGGACATGGGATGTCTGCCGGGTCGTTGTATATACAGTAAGCCTTTTATTTCGCTATCGCATAAACCAGGGTTTCACTGTAGCATCGACAGCGTGAGATTGACTCAAACCTAAAAAATATATAGAATAGCTTATAAGACTAGTAATAAGGTTTATTTGAATATATGTATACTATCTGGTTTACATAAAAAGACGGTATATACTAACGTCCTCGGGATATGTTGCTGTAGAATATGAGGATATACAAAATAGAAATAGTATAGAGCACAACAGATTGGATCAGGTGAGAGCCGTAATGTGAAGGTAGTAAAACAAGAGAAACCGGTAGTAGTGAACTAGCAGTGGCGTACCAGTGTTATATCTGCAACATATAAGCTATAGTCGAAGCTTATGACGCATGGCTGACTATCCCACGGAAGGCTGTGCACCGAAATCAGGTCGTCGATAACAGCCCGAGGATTTGTAGGAGGTCGTCCGATCGCATTTTCAAAAGTTATCTTTTTCAAACTTGTGCTACAAAGCAATGGTAATATACTGGAGATGTCAACGTCTCGTTGGTCGTTGGGCGCTGGGAGATCTATTCTGGGCGCCTCTATATGAAGTTCGTTCAGGACCAGCAATTCGCCTAGGGCTTGGAGCACACCATAGGAAGGGAGGTAGCAGATTCGACGCAGGGATAAATACTCGATTGCTGTCTTTTTGAGCTTTGTGACAATGTCAAGTATGTCTGTTTCATTCTCGTCGCCCAAGGTTTCTTCGAGCTGCACATCCAGATACTTGATCGTTGATATACTGGCAATTGCATTAAGGTGCTCGAATGTAATGTTCGGGACATTGACTATTCGTACAAACTCAAGATTTGATCCATGTAAGGCTAGGCCTCTGAAAATTTCAGGTCGCAGTATCACTGTAGGTTGCTGCTGCTGCTGTTCTTCTCCTTCATTTTCTTGAACGTGCCAATCAATATTGCAAAGTTCAAGATGCTTCTTCTGTTTCATCAGGTACCATGAAGATTCGCCCAGTTCCTTTAGCGATAACGTTGATTTTTTGATGACAAGTCTTTCTAGTGCAGGAAACCGTTCAAGCATCGTGATGGCGACATGTTCGTCAGAAAACGTGATACCATGCAAATGTAGGCTGTGTAACTGCTGCATCATATCGATGGATCTAATATTCGACCGATCGAGCGTGAGCGGAATACGTTTTATTTTCAACGTATCAAGTGTGGGCGCGTGATTGAGTAATGTAATCATTGTAGAAGAATCGAGGTCAATACCATCACAGATTAACGTGCATAACTGAGTCAGATGTAGAGATTGAACAAGAGATGCCCAACCGAACCCATGGTAGCCGTAATATTCTGAGCCAATAATCTCCAAGTGTTGAAGCATGTGCTGGTTTGTGATCAGAAAAGGAGCAATTTGATCATAGCCAAAATCTTCGCATAGAGAAAGGTGCTTCAATCCCTCTCCATGATCGCGAGTATCATAGTTATTTTTACTGATTGTCATTCGGGTGATGGTTTCTTCGCTAATTTGTTGGTTATAGCTGCCGTTACTCTTGAAACCTATGAGATTTGGGCACCATGATGCTAGCTCGTACTGATACACAAAACTGTCGCTGTTATCGAAACGGTGTTTTGAGTTTAGGTTGTATGTGTCCAACGATGTGGCGATGAAGTATCGGAGCTCGGGGCACTTTTGTAAAATGGGCTGAAGACGGTCTTCTTTGTGCATCGGGGCGTCGAAATGTAAATAAACGATGTTGTTGTTACTGCTGTATTCTCGACCATCGTTCATCGTCAGTGGCGTCATAGTCGATATTGGCTCTTGATTGTACGTCTTACGGTGAACCCGTAGGTCCTGGTTAATTATGTAAACCAAATGGGTGAGTTGCGGGCATACTGATAGTATGATTTGACGCAACGCAACATTTGAAGCATGATATTTCATGTTCAAATGTGTTAACGTCTGTCCCATTTGTCGTAGTAGACCTATGAATACGTCTTGGTCTTCTGTTTTGCATTTGATCAATTCTACGTATAAATAAAATGTGATTAGTTATTAAAAAAACGAGACAACTATCGAATCCGTAGTATTATTTTGTCTGAATTTTCCATGCTTTTACCTAAACCCGTTATTTGATCGCAGCCCAAGTCTAGTAATCTCCGGAGCATAGTATACAACTCATCCTCGTTACTGAAATCGTCAAGTTGAACACATTTAACATGGGCCCCTAGGAAACGATCTCGAGCCTTGTCCTTTATATCGTGGAGGCGTCTACATATTCTAAGAGTTCTCCAGGTACTTCTTGTGTACTGCGGTACGTGATCGTACCAGGCGCAGCTGACGTTCAAGCACTCCATACAATCTTCTTGATTAAGATACGAGAAGATCGCGATGACAATGTCGTAGGGAAGGACATGAATGAATCCGCCATTTTGTTCTGACATTGGCACATGGTGCGATCCGGCATCGTCCTTGGCTGTTGTTGCGTTACCGTTATTGTTCACCATAAAAATCGAAAGTAAAAATGAGAGAAAGATGTTGTAAGTGGCTGCAAGCACATTATATAACAGGAGTAACTACTGGCAACAGTGTGGATGTCACTGCTATGTTCAACGTTGCACAGCGTCACATCTTGGAATATCAATGAGAGTGATCATTTGGTGGCACGGAAATGCAAGCATAATATGCTTGCGTGCATCATTGGTTGGTAAACGACTCTCAATTATATCGCGTGAACAGTTTTTCTTCAGATAAAGTGGAGATAAGTTTAAAGAGAGAACATGTTCCGCAGCTCCGAGCACTATTTATCGAGTGCATCCATCAACTGTTATGTATAAGTACCTTATGCAGAAGAGTGTAAACACAGTAGATTGCTCACACTGCCACAACGTCCATGTACCTTGGTTGTACTTCTCTTTTCGTAAAACGTCACGTCATAGAAATTAAAGACGCCTCCTACATTAGCACACTTTCTGTTGATATCGATAAGTAAATTAGACAAGAGCATCATTTAACACGATTGATGATGCTATACGTATGTATGTAGCTGACGAAAGAGTAGTACATAAGAATTACGTTATATGATGGCTTACATTTATGTCGAGCGTGAACAAAAACACATGCAGCCTATGTGCCGTATTGTTTATTCTAAAACTTTGCTGTGCATGAGGAGCAAAACAGTAACGAAAGCTTATTCTTTTTCAATAAAAGAATAGTAGGGTAATTGCATAACGCGCTATTCATTCTTTTCCTTTCACTTTTTCTTTGTTCCCTATTCTTTGTTCTACAGAGAACACGTAAAAACGTACAAGAGCCGTTTACTACGATGATGACCAGATTTTTTGAGAATAAGGTCGCTGTTATCACCGGCGGGAGCCGTAATTTTGGATATGTAGTTCAACTGTTTTAATACGATGTAGACGAAGCAGACGAGAGAATCATAAAGATCCATGCCCTGGGCGTCTCGTCAAGGTTACCAAAGTAGCTGTGCGCTATTTAGCAAAACGATATGGTGGCATTATTGTCAATACAGCATCGACAACGGGTCTAGGGCTATAGAATAGGTACACTAAAATGTACAACCACCGCTCTATATACTGCTTATGATCTACATTATGATTATACTGAGTCTCTTTCTTTACCTATGTATACATCAAAAGCTATTCGATCGTTTAAATTGCATTAACGCATGCAGAGGTTTCATACATCTACAGTACAAAACATTGCCAAAATACGCATAAATGCAGGCATGAAGATCTTTCGAGTTTATCATATACTAAAATAACCGCTCCCATTAAAATTCATACACTAGTATGTGGTAGCTCTTTGAGCGACAAAGATCAGACAATATGGACTCACGTATATGATATCTGTATACTCTATAAACCTCGAAATGAGTGAAAAATAGTGTGTCCTCACGGAGTCCGTATGTAATTACCTCTCAACTGTTAAAGTGAAAAGTATCAACAGTGGTGTTTTTGACACACACCAGCTGCAACAACGAAACAATTATGGTACACATCGTTAGTTTTAGAGTTGTATTGTTGAGCGATTTCCCTAGTCATCACAGAAAATTTCTTGAAGCAGCAAGCTTATCACGCGACACTTTTGCTCATGGAAAATGAACAGTATAATGACATGTATTTATGTTACTCACTCGTGAAGAGTGATATCGCTTATCTATATATGTTGCTTTATACTATTTTCCTCTTATTTTTAATGTTAACAGGGGTGACACTTAAAGCATTGCCTGGAGACGTGGTTGAAATGCTTAAGGTAAGTGTGGTAGAGCACTCATACTGTGATAAAAGCTACAATAAGAAAGGAGAAGCAGCAACGTTTATTTTGCTGCTCATACGCTTAGTACATCTCCCTACACCGATAAACTATATAGAATCAATTACGCAAGCACTGGTATCAGAAACTCAGTTATCGAGCACAAAGGTGACTTTGACAGAGCTGTGAAAAGTTATTTCGACAAGAAGCAGCCACATTAGTGATGATCTATATTATATTAGCCAAAGCAGCGTAACAGTTTCATGAATCAAGTGTCTATTCTGCGAAAGAGCAGAATGATCCAGAATAAGGTGATATGAATACACCCTTAATCTAAAGTTAGGCGGAAACATTGGCTGTGATTGGTCCCAAGTACGCAACAGCGATTGCCCGCCTTTGTGACGTAAACGGGCTTCAAATTGGAAGGAAAATTGTTTATTTGCCCTTTTTCGAAACTGCGCGCAGTCTGTGAACAACAACGCGATCCCTTTGTCTCGAAAAGAGAAAAAAAAAAGACCTCCACTTTTCTCGTACATGTCTCTCCAGTCTTTGTTACGTCGCGAAGGCTGGAGACAGCAGACGACGACACTAGCATTTCTCGCGTCTGCACAAACACTTTGTCGAAATTGCCTTTCTCGTCGACTCGCCACGCGACCTGCCGTCACACCATGGACATCATTACGCACGATCAGGGCCAATAACAACAACACTAATTATACAACAAGACGAATGTTCCTGTCACGATCACAACAGCAGCAACAGCAACAGCAGCAGCAGCGTTATCAGCACAAGCCACAGTCACCGTCCAGTGCAGTTGACATTGTTGTCCCTGAACCAATTCAACGATTACGAACGCAGTTGTACGATTCACACCTTCCTTCGCGCGACACAATGAAAAGAAAAAGCCGGTCTCGACGTCTTCAGGGTCGAGTATACAATAGCATCATACGGCGTATCCAACGTATCCATATCATGCAGCTATACCGCGAAATCCGTCGAGACCCCCACCTGCTGGCAGCGCTGACGCACGAAGACATCGAGGCAGTGGTCGGATTATTTGCATCGTATTTCCCACACGCAAATGATCAGCAGAGTAAAATGGCAGCAGAGATATTGTACGATTTGAGCATTCACAAACCGGCACAGTTCAGTGGTCAGGATGCGGAGATGCTCGTTTGTTTTTATGCGGCGTATGGCGAGACGACGCAAGCGGAAAAGACGATGCAAGGGTTGATTTATAGAAAGCAAGTGCCTTCACAGCGGGCTTATGAGGCACTTGTTCACTGTCTGGCTGTCAAGGGTGATATGGAAGGTGTTGCGGCGTGGCTGAAAAATATGCAAGCAAACGGGTTGGCACCAACGCAGATGGCGGTGCGTGCGATCGTGGATGGTTGGCTGCGATTGGGAAACGAGGACAAGGCTCTGGAGACGCTAAAGACGCTTGGCAAGGATTCAATTGATGTGGTGCGCAATGCCATTGAGCAAGGACAGGATGATCGGGCAATCCTCAATGTCGGATTGAAGTTGTTTGGACACGGAGCGATTAATGCCTGGCTGTTGGAGGACGCACGGCGGTTTTATCAGTATTTAAGGGAACGAGGGTTGCCTACACAAATGTTGGTGCGGCATCTTGTGGACAAATCGCTACAAACATTCCAGCTAGCACATGCGTACAAGCTATTAGAAGACGCGCGAGCATGTCGGGATAAAAATGGGACACAATTAATAGGGCATAAGCTGCTGAAGTACTACCTGACACGAAGCAATATGACACACGCGTTTCGGCTATGGTCTCAGCTATCCACTGTGATCGAGCCAAATCTGTGCGTTGAACTGTATATGGCGCTAGCAAAAACGAACCGACACGAGCAACTTATGCGGCTATACCGCGCCATCAAGAAACGATACCCTGAGCACATCTCTATAGAGTTGTACAATGCAGGTTTAGCGACATTTGTGCGCACGAAGAGTTACACTTATGCATTCAAGCTCTACCACGACATGAAAAACTCCAAGATATCTCCACAAGACATGCCCAGCGGGACGTTTTACAGCCTCTATGGGTTGTGTGCACAGACAGGTCGTACGCAGATGTTTCGCGAAGTGTTGGAGACCGCTGCTGAGGCTGGCATGGAGATGGATAACAAAGCACTCAGCTCGTTGATGGCATGTTATATCAAGGCGGGCGATATACCGGCAGCAAAGCAAGTCTTTGAAGCGATTGCCGAGTCGCACGGTCCGGATGTGGTCGATTTCAACCTACTGATCCGAGCGACGGCCGAGGAGCAAGAAGAAAACGGGGTGGATTTCAGCAAGATCCTGAAAATCTTACAGCATATGGGCAAAGTGCAAGTCGAGCCCGACGCATCCACGTATCGCACCTTGCTGGATATTTATCGCGAAGGGCAAATCGAGCGCCAGCTCTTTGACCGCTTACTGCCGGACACGAACGCACGCAAGCTGGACGAGGTGTTTGTGAATAACATTGCTCTGACCCGCGAATGCGAACGTCACGGTGTCGATGTTGCAGCGGCCAAGTTCATGAACAATGACCGCGCGGCCTTGTTTCCCGGTACTCCGCATGTGCCTATTCTCGCAGACAGCATGACATACAAGCTGTTGCTGGATGCTTCGGCCGGTCGACCCAAACACATGCATGTGGCGAATCGACTGTATGAAAAGATGCGGAAGAAAGGTTGGATGCCGTACCGGGGTGTCTACGAGCGCATGATTCTGGGATGGGCGCGCAAGGGCCGTATCCAACGTGCACGGAAATTGATGCGAGAGATGGAAGAGGATTTAAATGTTGAGGCCGATCTGCGGATATACACCATGTTGGTGGACGGATTGCTGCTCCAGAACAAGTCCCACGCGGCGATAGAAGTGATTGGAGAAATGCAGACACTAGGTCTTGAAGCGGATCTGGCGTTGCTAGACCGAGTGGAGCGGTTTGAACAAGACAATTACAATAAGGCACTCGCTCCTGCTTAAGTACGCTATAAATAATTATTATACCCTTCTCCTTCCTTTTTTCCTTCAAACACACACTCTCTCACTGCTTGTATGTAAATTACATCGTTCGTCTTTTCTAATAACAAATCACCCTCTCTTTCTCTTTGACGTTGAACATTTCATTGGAACAATCAGGGAGTGGCTGTAGGGTTGCGCCACCTTTTCTTTGTACTCCTGTCTCTTTTTTTATGCACATTTGGTAAATTCTCCTTATGGAAGAGGAAACTTTGTTGATCGTCCTCTCGCTCTCTTTTTCCAACTGTACTACTTTCCAACCTCATTTTCTAACCGACACATCCTTTTCGATTTTGGAGAGGCTAACAGGACAGTGATGCTTGTTCACAGTGCGCCATGTCAACTACTGCCACCTGGAAATAAAAAAAAAATCCAAGATGGTGGGGCCAAAACCCCGAAAACAGGAAATTATAGATGGTGGCTCTCATTGGCATATACAGAGTACACTTACAACCACGTACCTGAGCGATAGTAAAAAGTTCCAAATTATCTTTTTTCACCGGTGCCTAGCTGCAAACTTATCACAGTGCAGTTATCTTTTTGCCTTTCGGACAAATTACGTCTTGTTGTTATCATGAAAGGATGATGGCAAGAGGGTGTTGTTGGAAACGATCTTGTGAAACAGGCAGCCCTGACTCACGACAAAGGGACGCCAACCAAAAAAAAAGAGAGATGCGTCGGATGAATTGAAACTCAAATAACACTTTTGAATATCATACACACTGGGTAACCCAACCTTTTTTTTTCAAATGCTCTTGTGTGACTGATTCCGATCCAGCCCGTGCAATGATAATCGGTTTTGTCAAAGAAAAAGAGGCGCGCCTTCCTTTACTTCTCCACACTTTTTTATTTCTCTTTGTCATAACAGAAACATGTCCTCTGACGCACCACCAAAACGCAAGTATCACTTTATGAAGTAGAACATGGTTTACGTTTTCGCTGCAAAAAAAAAAAGTTGGAAAGGAGTGCTAACACACGCGCACACTACCTCTGTGTCTTCTCTCATACATACATACATACATACATATATACAGCCTTGCCATTCCACTTTCAGTTCTTGGCTGGCGCCATTGCTGGTATTTCCGAAATCTTGACCATGTATCCTTTGGACGGTAAAGTCTACAGGACTTTTCTTTTTATAAAGACGGTGGGGAGTACTTTTGGTTTTGAGTGAAAACCCTGTATTGACATGTTGTGTGCCGTATACCTAGTGGTCAAGACGCGTGCACAGTTGAGCACCACGGGTAACGTCGGCATTGTTCAGAGTCTGAAGGATATCGTCAAGAAGGAAGGGTAAGGAAGCATGGATTATTTTTAAATTTGAAACGTTTATTTTTCCTGCGAGACAACAAGCCCAACGCTAATTTTCTCCCCCGTTTTTTTTTTTTTTAGTCCTGCTACACTTTACCGTGGTATTGCAGCCCCCATTCTCGTCGAAGCACCCAAGCGTGCGACCAAGTTTGCCGCCAACGAACAATACACGACGCTTTACAAAAAGATGTTTGGCATGGACAAGGTTACCCAGCCATTGGCCATTGCCACCGGTGTCAGCGCCGGTGTCACCGAAGCCGTCATCATCGTTCCTTTTGAACTGGTCAAGATCCGCATGCAGGACAAGGCCAATTCTAGCAAATACAACGGTACCATGGATGCGCTGCGAAAGATCTTGAAGCAAGAAGGTCCTTTGGCTTTGTACAATGGTTTGGAGGCCACCATCTGGCGTCATGCTGCTTGGAACGGTGGTTATTTTGGTGTCATTTTCGGTGTCAAGGATATCTTGCCCAAGCCAAAGGTAAAACGCATGTAGGGTGGATGGGAACACAAAAGATTTTCCCTACTCTGTTACTTACAAACAAAAAATGGTCTTTCTACATGTAGACCAAGAACGAACAGTTGGCAAATAACTTTGTCGCCGGCACCATCGGTGGTACCTTTGGTACTATGCTCAATACCCCCATGGATGTCGTCAAGACTAGAATCCAAGGCTACACCGGTGTTGGACCCAAGAAATACAGCTGGACCGTGCCATCGTTGGCTTTGGTCGCCAAGGAAGAAGGGTAAACCTAATGTTGGGTCGTGGGGGGGGGTTAGGAAGCCGAGACAAAATCATCCTTTTTTTGGAGGGAACGATGGGTTGTTATGGTTACGTGTTTGTATTAACAATACGGGTTTAGTGTTGCTGCTTTATATCGTGGTTTCACCGCAAAGGTGCTTCGTCTTGGTCCTGGGTAAGTTGTTGCTTTGCAAGGATACGAATAGAGTTAAAATACTGATCCAAATTCATTGATTTGTGTAGTGGCGGTATTCTGTTGGTTGTCTTTGACACTGTATCTACTTTTATGCGCAAGCACTTTATGTAAACAACAACAACAACAACGATTCGAAAAAAAGAAAAAACAAAATTGCAATAGAATTTGTAAAGTATCATAATCATTAAGAAAAAAAAAAGTTACTATCTATTATTTGCTATTACAAGAGAATTATACAACATGGGGTCGCCGAAGGAGGTTGAGACTGTATACTCGGGTAACATGTTCTTCTGGATGTAACATGCTTACATGGATCGTCGGACACTCATTGTCGTCGTGTGATACGTGGACGCAGCGAATGTGGCAGCCAGCAATCACTTGTACCACCTTGCCCTGTTTCGTTTAGCAATAGTAGTAATAGTGGTAGTAAGTATCTCCAAAATTAACCCTCAATATCAATCTTATTACCGTTTCAACATGTCGCACTTCAATCACAGAGTGCGAGAATCCAATTAGGTAAGGAAATACAATGGCTACACGTTGCACGCGACTTTCAAACTCGATGCGATCCTGTATTTGCATGCGTAGTAGCTGCTGCTGCTGCTGCTGATGATGATGATGATCTGGAAAAAAGTTGACGGATTGGGCTGTTCGAGAGTCATAGACATAACCACCATGCGTCGCAAACGGTACAAAGCCATTAACAACAACGGGTGTGTTGCCGTTATTGTTACAGTTACTACTACTACTACTACTACTAATAGTAGTACCACTACTGCTAGTGTTGCTGTTGCTACTCTTATCGGTGATATTCAATTTCTTCCAATGTTCGTCTTGGGATATGCGACAAACACCTTGTGTGGGCGATAGTAAAAATACAGTGTTGTGTGCAATCTGGACATGCACCGCGTCTTTGACATCGAGTCGGTACTCTTTCAACTTTCGAAAACTGGCGGCTTGTTTATACTGGACAATGACTAACCGTTGATGTCGATGCCGTCGTTTCCGTGTCAAGTAGCAGAGGACGGTCTTTTTGTCGAGTACACCCACAGCAAATGAAGTGACTGCGGATCGACGCACGAAGCCCCAGCGTCGGTGGATGGCGAGGCGTTGGCATATCATTTTCAGATCGTAGGCTATCAGTGCGTTGCGTCGATGGTAGGCTCGGACTAACAGGATTGAATTGTCGAGAATGGCAAGTTGCTGGCAGTCGTCATGCGGTACTGCGAGCCAAAAGTCTTGCGATCCACCATCGCGTGGCCCAACCCACACACCGTATTGTGTGCCTAGCGCCAACATGGCTTGTCCCGTTTCATCATTGACTATAGCCAAACAATGAAACCAACCACCCCCCCCCCCAGATTCATGCATTTTTTTAGTATGATTGAACTCCTATATTCCCTGATTTTTGCCTCCTTGGGGTGATCGATGACCGAGAAAGAAAGGGGGGGGGGTGGGAGGAAAGTGCGGGGAATCATACTGACATACCAAAGGGAAGCGTGCACCATATCCGACCACAGCCTGTAGGAAACTTGGCACTTCCTCCGACCATGATAGACTGCCGACTTGATCCGGTAGCTACTTCACACAACGGATTCAATCCAAAGGGCGCTCTATGCTCAATGGCCCCTTGAGCATTGTGGGATGCGGTCACCAGCCGCTCGCACCACCGCTCACGTTCCTCCAGCGTCGGGCATGTAAAATGGTAAGTTGACTCTGGATAGCCCAAGTGACTTACTGTGAGCATCCGCAGTCGATGGGTGCGTCGTCGGGCATGTGTAGTGGAAGGTGGAGACGGCGATCGAACTCGCTTAACAGCGATTTCGGCAGGGGCCGTTTTCTGATGGAAACTTTGTCGGAAGCGTCGGAGACGAGCCCGGATGTAAAGTCCTGTCACGCTGTCTTCTGCGACCCAATGTTCCTGTTGAGCTGCTGCCAACACTTCCTGGTGTTGCTCTTGCAACTGTTGGAGACGTATCCGTTTTCTCTGTTGCTGCTGCTGCTGCTGCTGTTGTTGTTGTTGTATGTGTGCTCGTCGAGGCAATTCAATCCGAAGCATGTGAAGAGGAATCGGAGGCCCGGCAACAATGTACGTGTCATCACGCGGGCGCGTGACCACGAGCAAATGCGTAAATAGAAAGACATAGCATGGTGTGGCAGTAAAGGAATGGGAAGAGCGGGCCAACAAGAGCCGACCCTCGTGCAAAAGAACTGCATCGTCGTCCACGATCTGCTGCAAGGTTGTCGGGATATGCTCCGGGATCCGTAACGACGTCATGATTTGCAGTCGTCGTGTCTCAATCTCGGCCTGTCTCGTTACCTCGTTCATGCGCGCCAATAAATCCTTGAGCTCAGCCAATGCAGCGCGCAGGCTTAGCAAATCGCCTTCGTCGGTTGTGTATTTGTACAGAGCCTTGACGAGCAGTCGATATTTGCCCATCCGTAGTGTCGGCAGCGTTAAATAATGGCGCAGGCCAAGCCGTCGCGTGCATTCCTGTGCGTTCTGCTGGTCAACATAGGCGCGAAACGGATAGCTGCTTGCGAGTTCGTGTTGGACAATGTACCATGCCTTGACATGGTTGGCTGCGTACAGACTGTAGGGCTCCATGAGTCGCGACACGTGCTGGAAAACAACATTGCCAGCACCCGTTTCGGCGTCAAACATGGGCGGTTGACTTTTTTGCAATTTGGCAAGCTCGGTGCAGCCTTGTTCGTGTATGGCGTAGATGACCTTGTAATTTGCAAACACAACGTCGTGGAAGCGTTCCCGTCGCGTGTGCTCGATGGCAGGCGAATGGTGTTGTAGCAGTGGCTCGGCGTAGATGGTGCGCAAGATGTCGAGGTCGTGGCAGTATTGTTTTTCTGAAAGTAAAATCTCGGCGAGTGCTGCCTGGCGCTTACGTTCTTTGGGCGGCAAGTGGTCCGGCATGCCCTAATTCGGGAAGGAGAGAGTGTGTCAGATGAACAAGGAAAGTTTGGGTTGCATCAGCAGCAGTAGCAGCTGCTGCTACTTTCGTAGCGCAAATAACAAACATTACGTACGTCGTCACTGGGCGGCAACACCACACTCGCGTAGGTGCTGCTGTCGCTACTGCTAAAGGTGTCTGTCCGCATCAATGATGAGCTGCTGTTTACGTTGGGCTCGTCGTGATCGCTGCTGTTGTTGTCGAGGGAATTGGCATTGTATGGACATGAAGGCGAGTAGCATGAGGGTTGTTGTGGAGTGCATCGTGAGGAATAGCACCGCGTCAGTGGTACAAAGACTCCTTGGTCGGCTAAAGTTGACGTGTGGACTTGGTAGTACTGATCGCACGGCACCAATAGTTGATGATCCATCAAGAGATCAAACACTTTGGTGGCTTTGTGTTCATGTTGTGTTTCCATGATATTCAGGATGGCGTCCTAAATTAAATGGGATGGGGGAGGGGGGGGGTTGTTTGTGAGGAGGAGGAGAGAAAGAGTTTACGTTATATAACTATTTTGTTTTATGCTCTATTGTCTCGGCAGCTGGAGCATCCTCATCACTTACCATGGCCTCCTGTCTTGTGATTTGAGCGTAGGTCGCCGCATGGACAAAGCGTGTCGAAAGATGCGATACGAGGCTATTGCTGCTATTGCTGCTGTTGCTGTGGTTATTGTGGTTGTGCTGGTGAGGATGGTGATGGCGAGAATGCTGAGTAGGAGGAAGGGATGACATGGTACTGCATAAGCAAATGGATATGAGAAAGAAGAGCAAAGAACAAGGGGAGGGGGCAGCTCCTTTTAGATGATCGTGGAAAAGGGTCTCTCTTCAACCTTGTTTTTTATATTTTTTTTTTTCAAAAGACTCAAGTGAAACTTACAAACGACATAAGGAGGAACTAAAGGAAAAGAAAGAAAAAAAAAGGATAAAGAGAAAGTGGTTGAGCAGCAAATTCAGTCCAGTTTAGGGATGTTTAAAAAACAATGCTGGGTCAAAGAGGCATCATGTGTGTGCCCAACCCAACTCTCTCTCTCTCTCTCTCTCTCTCTCATTGAAGGCCCGCTTTGTTCATTTTCCATTACTTTGCACTCACACACACACACACACAATAACTTTACTCGCTTGACCCTGTTACCGTCCTTTTGACACCTCGTCCTTCCGCTCTCCTTCATCCGCCCATTCATCCACAGCTAATTCACACTCCCTTGTGCCCAATCACATGCAACGCTACTCATTACCTGTCTCCACAACCACTCGCGACACTCCTTCCTCTTCATACAACTTGATGATTCCATTAAACGAAACTCCCTCCCTGGTAAGTTGCATGTATGTGTGTGCACGCGCAAAATAAAAAAGCTATTGTTTGGCAGCCTGCATAACTCATCCTGTCCTTTTCAGGAACCTTCCTCACCCACCGAAGAAGCAGCTTCCTTGCAACAACAACAATACACACAACGACGATCTGCTCCAGGAAACATAGAGAACCGACTACGGCAATTAGAAAAAGAAAACGAGCAACTGACACTTTCGAATATCCGACTCTTACGAGCCAATCGCATACTAAAACTGGATTGCGATCGGCTGGTGGATGAACAAACATCTGAACTCAAGGAAGAAATAAATCATCTTCGGTTCCAAAATGTTCGGCTACAACGAAGCAATCGACTTTTACAAGACGACCTGAATGAATACATGGTAGGCGTAGCTTTCTCTTGTGGGTCGGGGTAGGGGAGGAGCAGCAGCAGCAGCAGCAGTTATTATTAATAATTACTTTTGAAGAACAAACTATTAAGTGGGGTTTTTTTTTGAATTTAACAGACAGAAATGAATCAAATGCGCAATGACCAGATTCGGAAAATGAAAAATGTCGGTCCAGAGTACGAGTATCTGGTGCAGATGATCAATCTACTCTATCGCCAGGTAAAAAAAAAAGCAGCTCGCTCTTCTCTCTTTTGGTAGTAAATTTGTTTTTCGTTGATAAAGCAAAAAAAAAAAGTGCAGGGAGGGTGGCATTTAAGAAAGAATGAGATCCGCATATTAAAAAAAGAAGATTACAGTTACAAGGCAAACCAACATGTGAAAAGACCTGCTGTTTTACAAACAAACCGCTGAGTCAAGGATTCTCTGTGCTCACGCTGCCACCGGATGACAGCCAAGACCAGCGTGCCAAACCGCAGCATATCTGTCGACCCGCGATCCACTCGCACGTGAACGGCGGCAGCTTGGCTGTTGCGTCACAGCAAGAGAACGCCCGACTGCGCGAGGAGATGGACCAGGTCAAGCATGACCGCGACAGTCTGTATGAGGTCATTCACGAAAAGGAGGAGGATCTCGAGACGCTCAAACGCGAACTGAAGATGAAGGATGATATCGTCAGCCAGTTAGAAAAGGACTTTGAGCGCATGGAGGTCGAGGTGGTCGATTTGCAAAAGGTATAATTTCATTTTAAGAAAAGTAGCCACCCTCCTCCTCCTCCTCCTCCTCCTCAAAGTGGTTACTGAATGCTGTTTTTGATATTAGGATTGGCGACAGTCTGACCGTTACTCTGAACTACGGCATTTTCCCACTCCCCCGCCAAAAGATAAGCAGGAGCACCTCACGGACACGTACTTTACAGTCAAAGAGATACCACGATAAAACAACAGAAACCCTTATTAATTCTAATATCAAGAGAGAGAGAGAGAGAGAGAGAAAATAAAAAAAGTATACAGGAATTAACGCTTTGTAGTCTTGTGCGTGTGTATATTCTCACTGTGGTGGATGATGGATGTGTGTGAGAACAGAGTAGGGGAAAGGAGGGGTGTGTGTGTGTGCGCATACGGGGGTAGGGTGCTTTAGTAAGGCCGGGCGGGTTCCTCAAAGCCGTTTCATCCAATGGGCGCGTCTGTGGTCGTCACGCAAAAAAAAAACAAGAAAAAATAATTTTCATGTTAAAGGCGACGACCCCCACCCGCCAAGGCCTTTTTTTTTTTTTTTCTTTGCCCATCCCTTATTCCCCAATCGTCATTTTGATTTTTGTCTAATCTTTTTTTTTTTTTTACTTCTTTCAATTGACAAATCAAAAACCCCGGACGAGTAGAGTAGTTGCGGCCCTCTCTCTCTCTCTCTACATCCACAACCCTTTGTTTTTATATACTTGCTGTGTCACTTCCCTCCCTCCCTCCCTCTCTCCCCCACAAAACGCCCAACTTAAGTGTTAATTCCCTTGAGTGGGTTGCCCAGTAAGTTATAAATCAAAAAACCCTTTTTTACGCATTTTAGAAGAAAAGAAAAAGAAGGAAAAAAAAAGACGACATTTATATTTTTTTTTCTGTTTTCTTTTAACCTTTTCTTGCGTAATCAACAAACCCTCCTCCTCCCACCCCCCCCCCCTTTACATATATATCTCCACCGCACAAAAAGATGCAATTGCGATTGGAGCCGGTGCAGCCTTACACGCTGTTTCCACCTACTGCAACGGTGTTGACAACGACAACGGCAACCACAGGAGGAGCGACGACAACGACAACGACAACAACTGCGGCAGCATCAGCCTTACCGTCGTCGTCGTCGTCGTCGTCTTGCTCGTCGTCGTACTACTATCAACAGCAGCAGCATCATAATCATCAACAGGTGTTCCCGCCGCTTCCGAACCCGTATCGTGATGCTTTGCTGCCACCGTTAGCGACAACAACAACAGCGACAACAACTCACAACAAGCGTCTTTCTGCCTTTGAGCCTGTTGTTGCCACTTGTACTACTACTGCTGGTAATAATGCAAACACAGCCAGTCCAGCGACACCATCATTACCTGTTGTTGTCGACGATATTCCACGATTGGCGGATTTTGCTTCGTCGATCATTTATCTCATGTGGCACGCTCGGAAAAAGATGGCTCTCAAATCCGTGAATCAGGCCTATCTGATCGATGCAACCAAACCGAGCCCGGCATTTAAAAAGTTCTGTTTGCAGGTACGTCTACACACACCATTTTAAGGAGAGAGAGAGAGAGGTTCTAATATCATATGTGTGCTTAGGTCCTGACAGCCACACAGCTTTCTCAGAGCGCAGTGTACCTTGCATTAAAGTACATTTGTGCGTTATTGCGGACCAACCCCACGATCGAAGGTGCCGATGGATCCGAATATCGTCTGTTCACCGTAGCGCTCATGTTAGGTAAGCCATCTGCTATCATGCTATTGTTGTTGAGGGTGTGTGTGTGTGTGTGTGTGTGTGTGTGGGCCGAACAAGAAACCTGCTGTATGCGAGATGCAAAGTGGATTCACTCCTGTCTGTTTGATATGATGTGTGTGCTGTTTTAGCCAACAAGTTTCTTGACGATAGCACATTCACCAACAAGACATGGTCGGATGTGTCCGGCATGAAGCTGCATGACCTCAACACAATGGAAGCGGAGTTCCTGGAAGCGATTGGATACGGGCTGTTCATCCGTGAATACGAGTTTGACCAATGGAAGCACGCCGTGGATGGCTGTCGCGCGCACGTGCAACGCATGGCACTGGACGGCGGTGTTGTCGACAACACGCTGATGCGAGACGTGCTGATCCGCCTCGGCTTGTACCAAGATACCCTGCTTGAGCAACAGCAGCAGGCCGTCTGGGAATCCGCCTATGAGGCCTCGCGACTGCAACTGGAGAACACCCAGCGCCAGCATCATCTCAACCTCTATGCTAAAGCCCACAGCCTGGTCCCGCTACGGCCGCAACGACACACTGCGCCACCGCCGCCGATCAGTCGATACGGCGATCCACCCTTCCACTACTATCCGCACCACCACTATCAACAGCAGCAACAACAGCAACAGCAACAGCAACAGCACCTGCAGCAACGTAGATCATCGAATCCACCCGGATTGCCGACCGAGCCCATGTACAAGAAGCAGCTGCCACCGCCTGGGTTGAACACGAGCTACTACTTTGAATACCATCCGTTCGAAGCTTCGTCATCGTCGTCGTCGTCGTGGGCCACAGCGACCAACCAGGACTACTTGTTCTGAATGACTGACTGAATGACTGAATGACCGAATGACTGAATGACTGAATGACATATAAAAATACACATCGTATACTTAACCCCTCTCTCTCTCTCTCTCTCTGTCTCTCTTATGAACCTATCCCAACCCCTCTTCTTTATCTACTATCAACTCCCCTCCCCCTCCCGTTTCTTTCCACTTCTTTTACTATTCTTACTAATACCTTCTCAAACAAGCGAACCCACATGCAGCTTTTTGTATGCGGGACCAAGGAAAATGACGACGCTGTGTCATTTTGTTTCCCTTTCAATTACCCCTCCCCCTTTTGTGCTTTTTTTTATCTTCGAGGCGTTTTTTTATTATTATTATCATGACAAGACGCGCGCACTTGGTTCATTCTGTGTGTGTGTGTCCTCTGTCCCTTCTCTCTAACCCCCTCCCCCTGGTGTTTTTTTTTACGTCTCTTTTTTTTTTTAAAACTCTCATAATATAAGGATATTTTTTTTTCTGGCTGAAAAGAAAAAAAGAAATTACCAAAAGGTTGTCTGACATTGTTTGTACGTGTGTTGTTGACTTTGCCCGGTTTCGTGGAAATTAACCTTTTCAAGGTATACTCAAGTGCGCATTGCTTCTCTGTCTTTGGTTTTCAACATAAAAAGAGAAAATAAAAGAAAACCTTAATTTGGCTGAAATGTTACACTGCCTCTTGAGTCGTTATATTGTCCCACCCTTCCCTGCATTCCTTTGTCTCTCTCTTTCTCTCTCTCTCTCTTCCTTCTCTTCTCTCTTCCTTCTCTCTCTCTCTCTCTCTTTCCAGACAATCACACACGCGTTTCGTCAAACATCTGCCCACCGACGACGCCGCCAACTAAAAAGCACAACTCTGCGCAAAGGAAACAAAAAAACAAGGACAAAGACAAGAAAGAGAGAATGAAATGGTTGGTGCTGCACTTGACAATACTTCTTGTCCTGTTTGCAGCACAAGCAACACACCAAGACGACGTCCGGGACGAATACGAGCCAACGACGCGTGCGATCGACATTGAGCTCTTTACACACGATGTATCCTTACACATGCTCTCTGATCTCGACAATAACTTTTCGCAAGTATCAAAAAAGATCTTGCTCCAGTTTCGCGAACAATCATCCTCCGTCCTCTTGTCCGACCCATCCTCTTCCTGCTTCGTGTCATCATCATCTTCATCATCATCTTCATCACCAGCATCCCTCTCACTGTCGTTGATCGACCTACCACTCCTCAAAAACCAAGTTATGGGCGCTGCCGAATGTAAGCCTCTCTTGCTGTAATGAGACAGTGGGTCAAGAAAATAAATTGCTAACAGGGTTTTGGAATGGATGATGCTTATTTTAGCATTAATTGGCGATAAATTGTCGGCTGTCTGGAACATGCTTGACACAAAATCATTATTACACCGACACATCCAGCAGACGACGCGCCACGTTTGTCCCGACCTGACCCATCTGTGCATGGTCGAGAACGAGGACACTGTCAAAAGACATCTCGACAACTACATCCATCGCCATCTCTCCTCGACCATCAACCACTTGCTCGAAGACTATATCCCGCACCTATTCCAACTAGCACAGGAACAGGCTACACAAGTTCTCTCGCTCTTTTTCCAGCACCACCACGATGCATGTCTCTTCTCCGAGCAACATGACGACGACAGTATAAAAAACAATACCATCATTTGGCATCATCCTACCACCACCACTAATACCATCCCATTTGTATTTCATCATCATACTGCTACTACTAGTTCTATCACTACTACCACCACCACATAATTTCTTGTACACATTTGCCATTACCATATAAAGCTGCTGTTTAATTTTCCAGTTCTTCTTTTCAATTCATATTTGTAAAATAGCATTGATTTCCGTAGATAACACCGATTCTATCTAGTACCAGTCACTTTCAGATTTCTGATGTATCGACTTAAAAATAAAGGATGCTCTTCTTCTGCCTATTTTATCGTCCTTATTCCTACCGTGTACATAATAACAGAGTCACTCTTTCAGCTATTGAAAAGCGCACTCTCATATCATATGTCACCTCTATAGTCTGCATCTAGCTACCACCGAAACCTTAGAATGTCTAGTAATGGATCATGGATCTCCTTGGTTATCAGGAATCTGTTACCGTTGAAAAGATGCTGGTTGTAGCATTGGTAGAGTTGGTTGGATGGATGTTAACCGCTTCCAGTACGCGTCCACTTTAGCTTTCGGAGCACTAATAAATGTGAGTTCTATCGCGCAAGGACAAGGAATACATACGTCTTCAATCCCACTTCTTCTTGCGCGATTAACAACCGTCATCTCCTTCCTATCAGCATACTCTACTCTCTTCTACTCTATCTTCCCATAGTTATATTCATACCTCAAATTTTATTCCCCACAGGTCCTACAGTAGTAAATATTCGAGCCGTCTGCTATAGTTTTAATACATTTATATATGCTCAATGATCCCTCTCAGTCAACTGGATCAAAATAATTGTTCGAGAATGTGCTCCGATTGTTATCCCTAATCCACTTTGAATGGTATTAACATTTGTATTATTCATTTTAGAACAGAAATAAACAATTTTGATAAAAGCATATAAAGATGAAAGATGTCCATTCATCGGTCTTCGGCTCGTGGATAAACTATGTATAAGACGAATTGATAGGGACATATAAGAACTTGTGTAGAAGAAGCTCTATTATGTATGTCGTCGGGTCACTTATTTGTTGACACCGGTGTCAGTTGGTGGGTTGCCAAGCTACTGCCTGTTGTGAGGTACATTGGTTTTGCTGCTCACATACAGTCTGATGCTGTTGAAACTGCTACCTTATTTTGATGTCTTGGGTGGTGTAATAACGTGGCTCACCACATTGGTAATAATGTCACATCCAAAACCATTAAAATGTAATAGCTCCTCCTTAAGTTCGCAACTCATCAGCCAGCTGCAGTGCATACATACTATCATTCGTGAATGGCTATGAAAAAGTATATATGTATATACTAGATATGCGTCAAAACATTATCACGATGCAGTATGTAGCTAGGCTACTTTTTGTTAGATACGCATAACTCAGCGACGGTAGCTATGTTAACAAGCATTGTCATGACGACTGGATCAAGTTTGACATCAAATGGCACAGACAGGAAAGAATGGGTGGCTCTAAAACATAAAAAAAAAAGAGCCACCTTTAGCGTCGTGCAGTCATCAACATTCTTAGCAAAACAATGGTTCATGCCTAAAGCACGAACAAGTGGGTATCTATATCAAAGCTATTGATTCTGCACGCACTCACACATGGTAAATCTTGCGAACGGGTCTCAAGGAAAAGGATTCGAGTAGTAAAAGTATGTAGCAGGGCAAGCTAAAAGGCCTGACACAAAGCCAAACAGACGGCGTGTCACTTTCTCGGTGTATGTGCGGGTGATGTATGATACATGTGAAAAACGAGGATGGTCGGCGAAGGAAATAGTCTCTGAACTTGTCGTGCACGTGAGCAAAAAAATAAAATAAAAAGAGTGCGAAAAGAAAAAGATTTGTTTATTTTGTTTATCATTTTCTTATTGTGTTTAATACTGTAAATAATAATCTGTTCGTTTAAAACCCACCACATAGCACGGGCATCACGTGCACCCGCAGGTGCACGATCACTTGTCCGAGTACATGTCCACATTCCCACTGGTACATTGCAAAAGATTTCCTCCGAGCGGACCACCGACTCCAGCCAATCCTCAGAATCCTCTTGACAATCGCCAGCACAGGCATTTGAACTGGTCATTGCACAGAGCGGTGAATCTGCACTATAGCCAAAGCCGTACCAAAACGAACTAAAGTTTAGAAGAAGAAAAAGAAAGCGAAACTGCTCGCTTTTATAGACATTTCTTCTCGCTTGTATCAACTTGTGGGTTGCCTACTATGACATAGCAAAAGATACAGCACCAAAGGAAAGGAAAGGAAAGGAAAGGGGGTGTGCTTGGTGGTCAAGTAAACAAATGTGCTGCGGCGGTAGTGGTACGTGTCTCTCACCATGCGGAGCTGTACCCTCCGATGCTGTCGCCGCTTGTTTGTGAGTGGGCCGTGCACGGCACCGTGTCAAGCAGATACAAAGACACGAATGTAGATCCACGGAAGAAAAGCTTTTTAGCGAGTTGGTATAAAGAATAATATCAACGTGCGCTGGTAGACTGAGACGTATTCAGCTGGCAAAATAGTAATGTCCTTGCATGTCTGGGAGGGTTATGGACGACCATAGATGAATAGCAGCAGACGCTGACAGCACACACTGTATAGCAGCACAATCCTATCTATTATCGTTCCTATACCATGCTATCTCTCATGGTTCCAAACCATGATATGTATATAAGCAACCATATTAAATTATTCAGATTGTTTTATGATGGGACGACCTTTTTGTTTTGCTGGCAACATGTTTTGTGATGCTGGTAGCACGTGCTTTTTCCCTGGTATCAATTGCCCCTGATCCAACATGAGTATACATCCAGAACTCGATTCTCCCTATAATAACGGCTTCCATTCGTTCATTCAACATAACAAAAAGTTTGTATGTATAACATATTTGTACTTGTAGTCCACAGACTATCAATGAGACATTGTATCAACTGTGGTGTGGTGTGATGGCATGTGTAACAAAAACAAAAGACGCACTCTTATTCATGTATATACCCACGGCAATTAGCAATTGCAGATCCCCCGGATCCGCCTTAAGCACACATCATCAGAATAAGATAAACGCTTGAATATGAAAGGCATACATACGGCAACCAGTTAAGCATTGTAGCTTCATAGAAACAATCCATCCGAATTGAGTAAAGCACGAAAAGATAATTCTCGGATGATCCAGTTTTCGCAAGTGTAATCCAAAGCAGCTAGACCAAAGCTAGCTGGTTGTAGAACAATGGCAGTATTTCTCACAGTGTTAGTCACGTCTATACTCTAAGAAGCAGCTTTTGCTGCTTGTTGATCAATGTTGTTGCTTCGTTGTGTTTGTATACATGGTACGTGCTATAGTATGCATGAATCATGAGCGTGAGAAAGAGACAGTTACTATCAAAATTGAAGTTGAAGATAAAGTGCATGTTATGGCTCTCGTCGTGTTATGAAGCACCACATCAAATTATACATATTATCATACTCGAGCGATATATGTAATTCTACAAACAACACGAAAATTCGTCGTCGTATATGATATAAACTTTAAATTTAAGGGGACGGATGTGAAAGAACAGAGTCTGATTTTTATGTAAGTTGCTCTTGTTGATTGGTGTTGTATGTAAAGAAAAGAAAGAAATAATGAATAAAGCTATATAATGATGATACTTTTGTCTTTTGATTGATTGTTAGATGTTCTGGGGTTTCTTTTTGGATGTGTGTGTGTGTGTGTATGTGGAGATGTGGTTGTGTGGAGACTTGATATGTGTAGTGGATATGTGTGTCTGTGTGTCGAAGAAAATAAAGTCCTAATAGTATATACAAAGAAGAGGGCATATAATGAAGAAGAAAAGAGAAAGGGTAAGTACTGCTATGGTAGTACTACTGCGTCATGAAAGAGATGGTGATGAGTGCGTGAATGCTGGTAATTGTGAGGTACGCCTACGGGTAGACCTAGTGGTGTAGGTACTTCTTGGATGGCAATGTAAGTGCGTTTAGGTTTCGGAGGTGGCATGAGTGCCTTTGATGTTATTATGAAAGCAGCAAAACAACATAGCTTGTGTTAGAGAGAGTTAAGACTTGCTGTTAAAAGATCTGATGTTTTAAGAAAAAAGTCAAATACATACCAAGAAGCAAACTTTGAGATCCTCCTTGTTCACCAGGCCCCATTTGCTATTATCTTCTTCGACCGCAAATTGATAGGCTACGGCTGCATTTAGAGGCAAGCCCCACCCCGAGGGATTGTTTATACTGTCTCGTTGCTGCTGTTGGTTTTGCGAACAAATACCACGAATCAACCGTTCGGCCTCTTGCATTCTGTTTTCCCAAGCGGACGATGTCTTGAAATGTGTAAAGTCGATATCCCGGCCACGGAAGAGTGGGCGACGTCGCGAATGGTGATGCTGTTACTGTTTTTCGTTAAAACTTGTTGCCGCTACCGGTGGTTGTGCTGTTGTTGTGTCCCAAAAGAGCCCACAGGCCATGTTGGAGATAGTGTTCACCACTATGGAGGTAAGAGACCGTCGTCCTTTGGTTGGTCGCTCGACATGCGCTTCTTTTAGTTCTTGTTGGTTGGTTGCTCCTCCTCTTTGTTCTTGTTCTTCCTGTACTACCTCGTCCCGCTGGTACGGATCATAGCAGGGACCGAAAATTTGTCGCTTCATGGCGCCAAAGGTGCCAAGCAGTCGAATCAGACCACTAGGTTGACGAATAGGTCGTGCTTCTACCGCTGTCGACATGGTCGTCGTATCACTATCACTAGTTGCTTGCTGTCGGTTTTGAGCCTTGCCGCCGGTGGTCACGAAAGCCTCGCCATGAAAATATCTCCACATTTTTTGTGCTGGTAACTTTTTTTTTACAAGAAGTTGTATACAAAGAGATATTTGGTTACAAGTGTGCGTAATGTGTTGCTCTTTTTCTGAGAAGCACTCTTCGGGTATTGCGTTCAAGAGGTAGTAGTAGAGTAAAACAAGGGTTGAAAGTGGAAGATGAAGGAGAAGATTCAGGGAAGAAGCACAGCTTTGATTGTTTTTATAATGTGACAGAGGCACCGAAGTGCATGTCACAGCTTTGATTGAAGAAAAAGTTCCTCTCTCTTTTTGGGTCTGCATCTTCTCACAGCGATCACCATTCTCCAAACAGCAGAAACCCATGCATTGCCCTTTCTGTTGCTGATTAAATGCTTTCCTTCCATAGCCTCTTCACTACTGGCTTCTTTTGTGTACGTACGCTTTCAATACGATTTCTTATCCGTAACCTGCTAAGGACAGGCTCGTAGGTCATTGAATACACTACATCATTGTTGTGTTCTTGTTGCTGTTTGTCGCAGTAACACTTACTCTATCACCCACCATACGGCTTGAATGTTATGCCGGTAGCCATATATCACTCATTACGGTATATTTGTTTTGGATGATTAATGTCAAACACACATCGCAGAAGGTTTCAAAGCGTCATACAGATGCATTTTTGTCATGAGTTGCATGTGTTTTTCTTTCCAGCGATAAATATTCTTTTCAGTTCAAACACCCTGCTGCTGCTGCTGCTACTACGACAATCACAACAAGGATGGTGGACGCCTTTACAATATCACTACTACTGATACGTCTACTATTATACTGCATATCACCCGATTATCCAACTCCCTTGTTGCTTCTAGCTTATATCATATCGCTCTCTCCCGCTCATTCTGCGATCACCTTAATCATTCCTCTGTCTTTTTGTCATTTTCCCATTATGTTTCTTATCGTCTTACTACTGTACCTCCCTCTGTAACATTACCATTCAAGCATCGATAGTCCAGTACCGCAAGAAAGAGACCGTATACCTTATGGCGCTGGTCAATCCAGCCTTCCATGAATAAAACAAGCATTTGAACTAAACCGTACGTATCCAATATGTTGTTCGTCTAAGGTTTAAAAATACTAGATGCTATATATAAAGGCCGTTTAAAATAGTTTGGAAGATATAAGTTTCAAGATTTTCTTTTCTTTTGAGACGCTATTTTAATGTATGTAGCTTGTAGCGTATTGGGTGCAGCGTTGTAACACTTTTGAGCCGAGTGTACGAACCGCTCACTGTTACCCCCGCTTAAATCATCTCCATGTAAATTCAATTCACGGTCGCAGTGGTAATGCCAACTCTTCTTGAACGTTCCTTTAAAGAAAGCATACAATCATTATTAAACATATACTGCAATGGACCACTCACCCTTGCAGCTTCACACATGCGACAGTAAAGCAGAGGACCAATGTGTTAAGCCCTTTTTTAACAATCGCAGTTCCTCCCGCACCCCTCACGCCTTAACGAGAAATATTATGTATACATATACTACCGAACGTTTTCTCCTTAAAAGCACGTCTTTACTAAGTTAAATAAAATACTCTGCAGTCCGGAACGATCAACATGTAAAATGCTGATTTGATCGGTCAAAACTAAGTATATGGCTTATTCTTCTATGTACTATGTAGCTAACACACCAAATGAAAATCACTATTCTGAGTGATTATCACTTAATAAGTGCAAATTTTTACTTAGCCCATAGCACATACATCGAATCGATAGAAATGTTACGTCTTCTTCCAATCCGAAGGTTTTAATATCATACCTCTAATACTTTTAATACTGTGTACTGTGATACTGCTTGGCTGATGTATACAGTAACTGGCGCAAAGACCTTTGAGAGACTGTGAAGATGATCACCAAGCCTGACATCACAAGATAAGCACAGACCATCCCCTCTTCTTGCTTTCCTTCGATAAATATGTGTCTCCGGTTTATTTATAAGCGCTCTTCATTTTCTCACCCAAGCTGCCTATTACTGTATCTTTCGACCTACCATTTTCACACAATAGCACCACCTGTTGCCGTATAGTAAACCTGAAATTCACACGATTTTATAAGAGACATAGCCCATATACTCAACAATATCCAAACATTGGGATTATCAATCAACGAATCGATTCCTTTGCTTCTCTTCGTTTACTGCCATAAGACTGCTGCTGTGGTGTCATTCAGATTTAGAGAATGGCGAAGGGAAGATCAGAAAAAGCTAAAGCCTTTTTGAATAGTGTCGCTGACGGTGCAACATTGGAGCGCATGCAAAGCTTTCTATTTTTGACATGCACAACATGTTGCCTGGTACACAGACACTATGATTTCTGTCATACAAACCACTTTGGTTTAGTCCTTCCTCTTTTATTCGAATACCGATTATAAGCGTTACAAACATACACAATTGGTCGAAGAACTGCATCTTTCTTTTGTGATCTACAAAGTTACAGTATATCTTCTAGATTACAAGAGTTGTTGAGGCACATATAAATCTACATACAATGTATGTTTTGCTTGGTAATTTTGTATGTTTCTACACCCTATTTTACAGAGTGATAATAGACATAATGAATATATAAACACGCTCTGCCGTTTTCCGTCTTCTTTCAATCGAGGATTCTCCTGGTGATGATGGTTGCCCTACTTCTGCCGAGTTTGATTACATGCTCGTAAACTTTGCGTATGTCCCTCACACCATTGATTTGTACATCACCTAGCAGCCGCATGGTGCCATGGAAACGTTCCTAAGAAAAATAGAACGACAGCGTTCAAATTAGCTGCCGTGCAGTAGCAATCATGTAGGTCGATTACAACAAACGTTTACAAAAGAGAAAGGAACGCCATCTATCATATGTCTTTCCCAGCTTCTCTCTTCTTTTCAAGAATACTCAGCAGTTTTAGATGCCCTGTGCAACATTTATCCCCACGCAGTTGGTCCGTCTTGCAAATGAAAAAAAAAATAGAATAGAGGACCCGCCGGTACCTCACTAAATAATTCATATCGTCTTTTCTTTTCAATTCTTCCCTCAGCCGTTCTCACTAACTTTCTTTCCAGTCCTCTTCCTCTTTTTTGATCCCTTTCTTCCCTCTTTTACTCGCTCTTTCCTTCCTTTTCATAATATCCCCTCTTCTTACGTTCTTCACGATGTCGCCCCAGTGTCCTTCCTTAATTTTCGTGGTACTACTGATATTCGCTACTCTTGCACATCATGCATACGCACAAGTAGGACCCGATGTCAAAACGCCTGAATTCAACGCGACGGTCACCCCCGGCGACAGAATCACCATCGAATACGAGTATCAAAACGTAGGCACCGGCAATTATACCGTCGAAATTGATCTGTGGGAAGACTCAGGCAAACGCTACCTGCTTCAAAATGTATGCAAAGACGAACCCCTAGCTGGCGGCAATTCGACTGGCGTACAACTCAACTTTACAATGTCTGCCACATACGACTGGACCGTCCCCGGTGACCTGACGCACAAGGTCAGCAACGAGGAGGGCGAAGAGGTCGACGAGGCTGTCGACATGTTTTTTCTGACTGTTACTGCTGTGGCGGATACGTACTTTTATGAGGATCTGGCTCTTACTTCGCGACCTGTTCGATTGCATTACAATGCGGCTGCGTTGGCTTTGCCTAATAAGCTGTTACTGCTCGCTTTGGCTGTGCCTGTTTCGTTATTCTACTTTTTTGGCGTCTAATTTACCTACTCTTAATACCGATACTCTCTCCAAATCTCCTTCCACATTCTATATTTCTTAATGAATTAACTCCTTCCTTATTGTTTAATATTAATTACTCATTTTTGTGTCGACGAAAAAGAAAAAAGAAAGTTTGCAAAACCAAAGCGGTTTACCGAAAAAGGGTTGAAAGAGAAGGGGCACTTCGGAGATTTGAAAGTGGTGGTGTGTATCTGTGCGAGTCGTATACATATAACTTTTTGCTTTCAAACCTCCACTTTTTAAGAGAAAACATGAGCGATCAAGTTGTTATGCATCCACAGTTAAATCCTCCCAATTTTGAACGATCGTTATCAGATTCTGATTCAGAAGGAGAGAATGGAGTACAAAATTCAAATGGAGCGCCTGTTGCCCCCGTAGACGACGGAGAAGACGGACCACAAACTGTTCGAGTTGCCCGCCCAGTGCCTCCTATTGAATATGGCCCACAACCGCCTCTAGTCAGCACCAAAGAGCTCATGAACCTTGCTTTTCGGTGAGTGAGTGAGAGTGTGCTGATAAAGCACATGGTCTGCTTATATTCTACTTTAAATTATTGGATAAGTGCATGAAGCTGATGTATAGACTTCATCTAGGCCAGCAGCACTGAATACACGAGTCGCATGTCGTATCTGTCGCTATCGGGACGGGCTCGATAAAATATACCCACAATACCAGCTCTTGATTGAGCATATTCGAACAGGCGAAGTACAGCATGTAATGACTGCACGCAAGAAGCGCAAGAGTCAGACCAGCTACTACACTATATCTGGCGTTGTTCACGATTCACATGAACCTGCTGAGAGATTAGTAGAACTAGGAAAAGTTCGGTAAATGCTTTACACCTAGTATTGCTTCCAAGCATATTTATGATATGCATGTAGGAATTTGAGGTCTCCTGACGTGTCGCAATTATTGACACAGCACGTATAAATACTAGGTCGAATTTCTTGGGAACGACGTTTGTTATTTACTCGCATGGTCGCAATCCTATGAAGAAGGATATCGACGCTAGCAAAAGCGAGTTACCTATACGGGAAGAAATGGGCGCTGTTCTTTATGTAAGGACATGATGAGCGAAAAGGAGGATACAATAAGGAGAGTGCATGAAAGCTGACGTCGAAAGATGATGGATGATGATTTTGTGATTGACAGGATCCTAATATTCTCGGGTTCAAAGGACCCCGCAAAATGACCATACTAATGCACACTCTCACAAGAGATGGTAAACGGCCCGAATTCCGACCAGCATCGGTAAGCTATGCCTTACATCTTTCTTCTCCTTTGGCAACTTGCTGTATCGCACCATTGTTATTCATGCTCGGAGTTTGTGGGTGGATGGTTTAATTAGGAGTCGGAAACTCTCCTAAGCAAGTATCGTGAAGGCGGGTCACGCGATCTGCTGGTCTTGCATAACAAAAGCCCACAATGGAATGAAGGTAGCAGATTAATTATAGCCGTTTTCTCAAGTGTCATCGGCACCATCATCTGACGCTCTACTTTTCTTTTTCCTTCAAAACCCTCCAGAAACGCAATCGTTTGTATTGAACTTTAGTGGAAGAGTGACTCAAGCATCAGTCAAGAACTTTCAGATTGTCCATGACAACGACTGTAAGTTTATAATATGTAAACTCCGAAAAACAGATACAGGGTTTGAAGGGATGGGCGTGGTGAACCGTTTGCTAACTATGTGGCATATGTATGTGAACATAGTGGATTATATCGTAATGCAGTTTGGTAGAGTCGGACCTGATCACTTTACGATGGATTACAAGTATCCGATCTGCCTTTTCCAAGCATTTGCTATTGCACTTACCTCCTTTGATGCAAAGCTCGCATGTGAATAGGGTCGGTGATGATTAGTGATGATATATAACGCATGTGAATCTCGGCGTATCTTTCCTTTCTTCAGAGTTGTGATGGAGCGGAACAATTTCATGATGAATTGGAGGTACACTGTACGTGGATGAGAGTAGGGATCGGGGATATGTTACGGTGGTTAACACAAGTTTTCTTTTTGCCTAGGAAAATGGCGGGCTGTGTGTGCAAGTGTTAGGAAATGTCCGAGACGTATCGCATATATCGTTTCCTTTGCAAACATTTCTGTTTTTCATTTCTCTTTCGTCATTTTACTTTAATTTTCCTTTTCTTCCAAACTTCTTAGTCCCCACTACTTTAAATAAAGATCAACAACAAAATGGCATCCAGAGCAGAACGCAGACAAAAGGCTAAAGAAGAGAAAAAGGCACAAAAGAAGGCTAATAAGGACCAAGTGAAGGCTGCTATTGCCGCTCACCGTCCTAGTAGTGAAGACATCCGTCCAGATGATGCGAAAGCCAACGATGAGACCGATAAGGGCGTCGAACAACAGACGAAGCCAAAGACGCAAGAGCCGCCTGTCACTGCAGAGACCAAGACACCGTCAGAGGCTCCTAAAGCGCCCGAAAAGATGGATAAAGAGCCTGTTAAGAAGGATGCCACGCCCATAGAAGCATCAAGGCAAGACATTACAATGAAGGAGGAAGAGAACAAGAAGCCAGAACCAATTGCAAAAGAGCCATCACCACCTGTAGCATCCACAAAGCAACAACAATCAGCAGCATCAGTAGCAGCGACAAAGCAGCAGGCAGAACCGCTAACAGAAGAAAACCATCCAGAGCCCGTTGCGAAGCAACCTGGACAAACGCCACCGCCCACGGATATGCCATCGACACATGAGCCCGCTGGATCTACTGCGGGCAAAAGAGTTCCTGAGACTGTAGCTGAAACGGAGGAACCCAAATCAAATCAAAAGAAGCAGACATCTCAACAGAATAAAACCGAAGGCAAGGAAGCACCCGCAGAAAAGCCTAGTCAAGATACCTCACGGCAACATCGCAAGGAGCCATCTGCTGGAGAAGGCACTGGAGCTGGTGTAGCACCAGCAGAGCCGACAACGGCAAAGCCAACAACGACAACAACGACTCCTGCTAATGTTGCTATCACTACCAATGATACTGCAACAAAGAAGACGGAAGAAGTCTCCAAGCAAGAATCTGGATCTCCTTCAGCCACTGCTACCGACAGTGCTGATCCCGGTGCTCGGAATAAGGACCTACCAGTGAAACCACCACCCAAAGACGCGGAAAAGAGATCTGGGGGTCTTTTTGGCATGTTCAGGAAACATCATCATCAATCTTCTTCGGTAAGCTTTCTACATAAGAATTCAGTACCATCTCTACTGTTGCTTACGCTGAGATAACTAAATACGCTTTCACTGTATTATTTGACACGTTTCTAGTCTTCTTCATCAGGAAAGACACATAAACCATGGCAATTCTGGAAATCATAGAAGATCAACCAGCTTTTTTTCCTTTCTGTACAGTTCTTTTCTAATATACATTTTCTTTCTTTCTTTTACAAATAATTAATATTTCTCCAAGCACCTTATACAGCATACTACTATGAATAAACATATCTTCCATTAAAGCACTACAAGCATTTGTTAGCATACAATGGAAATGGCAACCTTAGCTTACTGTTTGGTAATTCACATTTCTGTTTGTCGTCTTGCCACATCCGTATATGACATAACCAGAGTGTCCCATTAGAGAGACAAAGGCTTTCTTTCTCAGCAATCGTGATGATCCTATGGTCAAGATACTTCAAGATATCATTATCTGAAGTCGCTCCTTGAAGAAAATCGCTAGTTAGGTCATCCAGCTCACCAGAAATAGCAACGACCCTATAAACAAGTTGCAAAGCTGACAGTAAAGGAAATCATTGAAAGGGAAAGCGCCAGTATTATCCATGTACAGTACTCTGACCATAGGAATTATGTCAACATATTTTGCAAGCGCCGACATCGCTTTTCGAAACCATACTATGTCTTCTTGCTGCTACAAGATACCCTATACACAGGTTATATCTATTAAAAAATTCGCGTGTCTACAATAGTATGGCGGTACTCTCACACGTTAACTATGATTTGAGAGATATCAAGGATAAAGTATTATGCACTGATGTCGTTGTATGCGTCACAGAAAGCAAAACTTCAAGTTCACCATTATCATGGAGCAGTCGCTGTGGCAGCAACTTACACGTTGCAATGAGCCGAAAAACAATTTGTGTGTGCACATTTTGGCTCTCTTTCTAACAAGTACGATTACTGCTGAGAAGTTTCTTTTTATTAAAACATGATAATAATTGCGCTACTCGGTCAATGATTTACACGACCAATATACACTACAGCAAAATGTCCAACAAACTACGCAAGATGCCTTGGAAAGATGACAACATCATGCAGTGGTTAGCAGGTCAAAGGATGCTGGCGTCTATCATCTGACAAGCTAAAAGCAGTCCGCTATGCGCATACTATGATATGAAGCGATCAACAATGTACGCAGTTTTTCAAAATTCAGCACAAGAGGATAGTCAGTACCGGCACCCTCAGTGGTATAATATGTTTAAATCGCTTGAGAAGGCTTCAGTGTCCTGCAGCATCAAGTACTACGGTCAAAACGCAACACTAAAGATGACGCGAATCGTGCCATTGAAAAGTCCTCGTTAATTTCAAGTTCTTCTACTGTAACCCATCGTATTTTTGAGGCCGTACATGAACAATACAAAGCATACCAAGAAGAAGACCAGCTGTATAAACATACATATAGACATAAGAGAGTATTATATTGCTTGCTGCAAGCCCATGTCTTTCTCACTTTCTCAACCGTAGCGAGGTTTGGATTTATTAGCTGGAGTGCAACGTGCGTTGCAAAAAAAAGGTGCTGGAGAAGTTGACGATAGTACATATGTAACTTCCATACACATATATAGCGTATAGTATCAGCTTCTTCTACAACAAGAAAGATTACGATGTACTCATCCGATAGCAAGACTCATGGACGATGTTGGTCCGAAAAGTACAAAACGTAATGAGCAAGAGTTATTCGAAAACTCAAGGTAAATGCTGAAAGTGATTCCTGATTTTACCTATCAAGTTTAAAGCTCATTACAATACACACTGCGCATAAACTTATACAAAGGAGAAGACACAGCGCCGTCGATTGAAAGTACCAACCATTGCTTGAAAGCAGAAACGAAGCTACTTATGGGCTCTGTAATGGAAACATATCTAGAATGCACTGCTCAGTGTTTCTTGAGCAACATTGTCCCTACTGGCATCAAAGCACCTCGGCTTAACAAAGAGCAGTATTGTGGTCAAGAATATATCGGAATTGAGCAGATCCTCTGAGCTATTCTTTTCTCTCTGCTTCTTTCTCTGACGATATAAAAAGAACACCTATCATTGTAAATGTAGTGAGAAGCTTCAAGATCCTGGGTTACTCAAAGAAACAATTGCGTAAATGCTCTCTTACGCTATTTAGTTTAGCCTATTCTTTTTGATAGGCATATGCCTTAAGAGGTAATATCGCTCACTTTCTGTCCTTTTTTTTAAACTGAGCTTTGTGATAGCGTTGGTGTTGCTATCGCTGACCCTATCAAAGTTTGTAAGAAGCTAACAAACACGACGGACAGAAGAATAGAAGGTATCTGGAAAATTCATAAGAGAAAAGAAAAGTTTAAAAATAACTCGTAGATCTGCCATGATGCATTCAATTTTGGAAGCAATTTATAACTGAGCAGCCAGTGTTTTGGCAGTGCGGCGCCAAATAGTTCGAGATAGATCTTCCGTTTATTTTTTCATATTACGGTATTAATTGTCGGCCTATGTCCATCTTTTCTCTTGCGTATCATTTCAACGCATACCACGTTTCGCGTAAGAATAAGTTGCATCCGAAAGGAAGTACAACAAGATCCATTTCCTTTTAAAGACAGCGCATTGTGAACTGCGATCTTGTGTGTGTTGAACGAGAAAGACGCGACTGAAAAACGTCGTTCGTGGAAATAAGTTACAGCTGCTATGTATTACAGGCACAAGCACTACTAGCACTACTAGCACACGCATATTGCACTTGTTTTGTTTGGCCAACAACAACAACAACATGGAGGAGAGTTCTCTTCGTGCCGGCCTGCTGCTTTAACAACTGCTCTGTCTGTGCATTAAACAGAGCGTGTTTCACAAAACGACACGACACGCCTTTCTGAGTATCACAAGGACTGAGAACAATCTTTAATTCGAGCAAAGCTCCATGTGGCCCCGGATAGCAACAGTAGTCCCTCTTTTCTTCTTCCAACCTTTTTCTTCGAGCCCTTCTCTTCCCATTCCTTCTCTGTTCCCTTTCCTCCATTCAGTCGTTCACGTTGCCAATCCATTCAATACGTTCCTTTATTCCTTTTGCTGCCTAGAAACATACCCGGTACGTGTTCGCTGTAGCTTAGCAACGGTAACAATCACTAACAGCAGCAGCTCTGCTACACCCTCTCTACCTCTCTCTCTCTCTTACTCCTTCTCCCCTTCTCCCCCTCCTTTCATCCCCTTTTTTTCGCTCTAGTAGGCAGTAAGTTTGACGCGCGACAACCCAAATCAAGCGAGCACAAGAAGAAACCTACGTTACCTGCACCCTATAATCATCATCATCCTCCTCCCCCAAGAAAAATCACCCCCCCCCCACCGTTCAAATCGAACCCTCCACCCTCTCTCTCTCTCTCTCTCCCCTACCACCTCCACCTTTCCCCCTTAAAGACACCGCAGAGCTACACAGAGCAGCAAGGAAGCCTTGGGCAATCATCAGCATCATCACACACACACACGCAACCCCTGTCCAAGATACACTACTACTAATACAGCTGCCCGAACTTGCACCGTATCATCAGCAGCAGCAGTAGCAGCAGCAGCAGCAGCAGCAGCACATACACACATTATACCAGGACGACCTACACCTTTTCCGTTTCCTTTTTCCTTCTTTTCCACACTTTTTTGCCACAAGACCCGTAGTGCTGTCTTGATCGCTTCTCTCTCTCTCTCTCTCTAGTGATATACATATTTAAACTATTATTACTTTCATATATTACTGCTACTAATATTATTATTATTATAATTAATACTACTGCCACACCCTTTTGTTTCATGTTTCTTTTGTAATCCACCTTTTCTCTCTTCTATACACCTCTTCTTTCTCTCTCTCTCTCTCTCTCTCTCTTTTCTCGTATTCTAAATAAGCTCATACATGATCTTTTCCCCATACCATGGGATTCGGTAATCATACAGCAACCGCATCCACCAGCGCAACAACAAACACATCTACGAACTCCAAAGAAACAACGCCTGTCCAAGTCGGTATGTCTATCTTCCTTTTGTGCAACGTCGTGGTGCAGTAAATAAGTATTCACTAACAAATGGCACCAAACAAACAAAACAAACAACAAACCGGAATCGAATCATATCACAAATCAAACCAGCACTACGAGTACGACCTCTCACTTCGTCGGACCGAGCACAACCACGATTTTCACATTCAACCGAATCCGATGTCATCAAGACATTCGAATCCAGCATCACGGTTGTGCCACACCAGAAGGCATTTTCATTCGATCATGTGTTCGATACAGAAAGCACTCAGGAACAAGTATTTACTGCAGTAGCCTCCAGAATGGTTGATCGATTCATTGATGGTACGCATCTATACTTTTATGTTGTCTATTGTTTTCCGTTTGTTGTCCAATATGAATGGATATGGTATATAATCTAACCAAACAATCACTATGGCGTTTTAACTACGATTGACGATCTCTTTCGATTGTTCCTGGTCGCGTTAGGCTATAATGTCACTATTCTCGCATATGTAAGTGGAAACCATAATTACAAAATTGGTTAAAGATTTCTTTTGCAAACCCCCTTATTTCAACAGTTGTACTCACTTAAATACTGGTTTTTTTTTCTGTTGTTGCATGTATCTCGGTTGATGTGGCACAGGGTCAAACGTCGTCTGGAAAAACATATACGATGGGCACTGAGATTGATGACAATCGACAACCAGAACATGAAGGTATATTTTTACTTATGAAATGCATAAAATATAACGGTGATATTCACAATTAAAAAACTTAGGCATTATTCCACGTGCGATGGCACAGCTGTTTCAGCAATTGTATCAACAACAACATCCACATCATCATCAACAGAAACAACACCCACATTATCATCAACAGAAACAACAACAACAACAACAACAACCAGCCATCAGTAAGAATAGTCGGCGACCTGTCAGCACTACTGGACCAGCCGGCGGAAGCAGTGGGCTGCGTACACCCGGAAGCACAAATAGCACCAGCAGGCGGATCATCCCTTGTGCATCCAATGCCAAGCTGCGGCCATCGTCCATGATAACTCCCCCAACCACGTCCAACAGCAGTGGCAGTAACGGAAGTGGAATTAACAACAGCAATAGTGCTGCTGCTGCTGCTGCTCGTCGTGGATCGACGCCAGCCTTGACGGTTACATCAGAACACAGCAACAGTAAAACATCACGGCATTCTGTTAAGGTGTCATTCGTCGAAATATACAATGAAGAACTCGTGGATCTGCTAAACCCAGCCCCGCCCACGGAACGGCCGCCTGTGACTATACGTGAAGACACCAAGGGTCAAATCTATTGGACCGGTGTTAAGGAGGTTGCTGTGGAAAGTACAGAGGATGTACTAAGGTAAAAAAAAATTGTACTTACTTGATCGAAAAAGGAGGGGTGTCTGTCTGCCTGTCTAGGTTGTTAATATAATAGCTGGTGATGTGTGATGTGTAATGGTGCGTGTTATAATTGAAGGGGGGGAGGGCAGGGGAAGATGAATTGATATGCATGACAGCATAGCCATTTAGCCAAGCAGCAGCAGCCCGAAAAAAAAAACACAAGGTATATTGTTATTGATCCCATGACCTCTGCTATTTCCAATTTTAGGTACCTTCAAATGGGCACCCTCAACCGTGCTACAGGATCGACAGATATGAATGCCAAATCATCACGGTCACATGCCATCTTTTCAGTCACCCTTAAGCAAGAGAAATGGGTTAGCAACAATGCTGCTGCTTCTGCTACTGCTGCTGCAGCCACGCCCAAGGCATCCCTGTCGACGCAAGTTCGCAATAGCCGTGAAGGTAGCCCAGCTCCAACATCGTCGCGCTCGTCCATGATCGGCTCGCCCATGATGAATCGCAGATCGAGCACTTTGAACGTACGCGCCATGGTGGGCCAGATGGAAAAACGCCAGGTTCAAACCATCGACAGCGGCGACGAAAACAATAATGACGACGACGGCAAATGGGTCGTAAGCAACTCAAAGTTCCATTTTGTCGATTTGGCCGGCTCGGAACGATTGAAACGAACCGCAGCTGAAGGCGATCGACGCAAAGAAGGTATCAACATCAATGCAGGTCTTCTCGCGCTCGGCAATGTCATTTCAGCCCTCTCCGAACCATCTAAACGCTCGGCCCATATCCCGTACCGTGACTCTAAGCTGACGCGACTGCTGCAGGACTCGTTGGGTGGAAACGCCACCACCTTGATGATTGCCTGTGTCAGTCCTGCCGAAGTCAACTTGGTGGAGACCGTCAACACCATCAAGTATGCCCATCGTGCAAGGAATATCAAAAACAAGGTTGAGCGTAACGAGGCCGAAGAATGGATGACCAATGATAATCCTGATTTTCTGCGCGGCATAATCAACAAACTCAAGACAGAAGTCCGTTCTTTAAAGTCTGCTTCTACTTGTACGTCGTCAACCTCTTCGTTACAACCACCATCTCCTACTGTCAAGCAATCACTACAATCACAACAGCAGCAGCAGCAGCTACAGCAGCAGATTCAACAGCCACAATTACATAATGGTAATCTAAGCCAGTTTGCTCCAAATGGTCCACCCTCATGCTCAGTCTCCGATACAGATGCACCACATCCGATTTCCACTTGCGGATCGTCTTCAGCTACCACAACCATTACGGTTCCTGATGCCAATGACTTGGACAATCAGGCCCTTGTAGCTGATCTTCGACGACAGATCGAAGAGCTTCAGAATGAAGTAACGGTGACACGCGAGCGAAATCAGCTGGTCGAGACTGAACTGCGACAAGTTCGACACAAGAACAAAAAGAACAACAAAAACAACGGTGTGGCAACTGCTGCTACGGTGTCTGATATGGATTTTCAACACTTGGTAGAGCCTGTAATTGAAGAGTACGAAAAGTCGATATCTACGCTCGAGTCACAGCTCGCCATGGTGCGTGCCGCCCTGTCACATTCGGATCAAGTGCTTGCAGACCAAGAGTCAAAAATTACACAATACGAATCGATGCATGTGACAGAACAACAAGCATTGAACGAGATCAAGACACGTCTTTCGAAATCCGTCGAGCGCGAGCAGACCAGTGAAAGCTATATTACTGAGCTCGAGGCCAAGTTGGCCAAGTCTGTGCAAGATGCCATGCAAGACCAGCACGTCCTCAACGATCTCAAGACCAAGATTGTCAAGCTCAAGGAGATGGATGAAAGCACCGAGAGCTATATCGGTGAGCTCGAAGGACGACTGTCCTCATCTGAAAAGGAGCGAGATCGATTGATTAAGATGACCGAAGAAGCTCAAGAACGATTGGTCGAACAAGGTGCCCAATTGGACAAGATCAAGCGACAGTTGTCGTTGACAGAGGCGGATGCTACACAAAAGCTCTTGCTCCAGGATCTCAATCAGTCACATGCTCGCTGTCGTGAGCTTGAGCAAGAACTGGCAGAACTGCGCGAAAGCTTTGATAAAGTAACGACGTCAGAGCATGATGATGATGACGACGACGACATGCTGCTTCTGCAGGAGCGAGGTGTTGCAGCACATGGATCCCTTCCGACTTCAACCAGTAACCGGTCCCTCAAGGACGAGCTTCAGCGCGATCAAGACCATGTCAAGATTGAACAACTCAAACAACAGCTCGAGCAGAAAGTGAGCCAAATTGATGCATTGGAAGACCAGATCATACAAGCAGACGCCACAACCCAACATAAGATCCAAGAGCTTCAGGAACAAGCCGAACGAAAAGAACGCGAGGTCAAGGAACTAGAGGATCGTTTAACCGAGGTCGAGTCGCTACGTGACGAGCTTGCGAAAGCACGGGATGGACAATCGGAAGAAATTGCCCGACTCGAAGCATGCTTGGCGTCTGTCCGACATGATCTGGATGCCAGCCAAGCCGAGCTGCATGCACAGCGACTGCAAAACGACGCGCTGCAACAATCCACTTTGGAGAGAATTACCGAGCTTGAGTCGCAGATTCAATCCACCACCAAAACCGCGCAGGACCAGCAAAAGTCCGTGGTGGAAGAACTAGAGCGAGAAAAGAACCGATTAGAAGCGATGCTTCAAGAGCAAGAGCGCAATGCTCAGTTGGCTCTAGCGACTCGCTTAGAAGAGCTGGAACGTGTCCATGCCGATGTGCACACACTCGTGCTGGTGCAAGCCAAGCAAGATGCTATTATTGCCAGTTTGGAGCTCAAGATGGAAGCTATGGAGGATCTTGTCGCTAGTCTGCGCGAGCAGCTTGCCGATCGGGATCGTCAGATTGCCTTGCTCGAGAGTGACAATAGCGAAAAGGCGCGGAATACGCTTGATTTGCAGAGCCAGGTGCAGCGGGTGCTTCACGATGTTCACCAAGTAGGACAAGAGAGACAGCAACTCGACAAGGTCATCGAGTATCTTGAAACATCACTCCGGAAGCAAGATCTCAAGGCAGACAAGACAACCTTGGCTCTGCAGGATCTGCAGGCTCGGTATGCAGCGTGTGAGGCGGATCTACAAAACAAGATCCAGGCCATCCAAGTTCTCGAAGGAGAAAAGAACAGTGTCTCGGATGCACTGCGTGACATGACCGACCGTGCCTTCAAGAACGATCAAGTCATTGCTTCCTTACGCGAGCAGATGGATGGTGTCTCTTTGCGGGATCTTGATATGCGTCAAAAGGTGGACGAGTTGGAGGACCTGTTGCGCAAGGGCCATGAAGAGCGCGGTGCGGTCAGTGACGATCTTGTCACTACCAAGTCCAAGCTGGAGGCGGCACAGATATCGCTGGAAGCGCACAATCAGCGTACCAGCATGTTGGAAACGACCATTGCACAGCTTGAAGAAACAATCGAAACCGAGCGCTCTTTGGCGGCACAAGATGACATGTCGGGCATGATGGCTGAGTTGCGCGACAAGCTCCAAGTACTGACCGAGGCCAAGCAAGATGTGCAGCAAGACTTTAAAGCATGCTTGCGTGAGCTCGAACAGACGCGTCGCATCAATCAGGATCAGGAAAACATCATTCAGTCGCTCGAATCGTCGCTTCAGGCTATGCAGACACGATTGGAAGAGGCGGTCCAAAGTCATACGCAGAAATCCGACCAGATTCAATCATTGCAAGAGCAGCTCAACAGCCGACGTCGCCTCACCATTGACACCAACACAAGCCGAGACAGTGGGCTACCTGACGAACGCCGCATGTCAGACCTAGTCAAGCGTGTGGAAGAGCTTGAGCGAGAAAACCAAATCTTGTCGTCAAGCCAATCGTCGTCCACCAACGGCAGCAGCGACGACCTGGGTCGACAGCACTTTGTTGTACCGGATGACACGGCGCAAGACTCGGTACAAAAGCTGCAATCACGATTCCGGGACAAGCTCAGTGACAAGGAAGGTCAAGAGGAGCTGTTGGAGAAGTTGATGCAATTGATGGGCGAAAACTCGCAAATGTCGGTTCAAGTCAATGATTTGGAAGCACAGCTTGTGTTGCAACGAAGCCAGCTTACTCTGGAAAGCAAAAACTTGGAGTTGGAGGTCATGAAATTATCGGCCGCCAACGAACGGTTGGAGAAGGAAATGGAGCAAGCAATGCCGCGTAGCCAGAGCAGCTTGAGTGGCAATCTAGCGGGAGTTATTAGCAGCAGCACAAGCAATAACAACCATGTCAGCGGCAACCGGGACTCGCTCTTGTTCACGTCGCCGCCACAGACGCCACGCGTAGCTTCACCACCGCCTAGCACTGCGCCCAACACATTGCATCAAAAACTCCAGCGAGACTGGTCAACATCCAGTCTTGCGACAAAGCTGCAAAAGTCAGGATCATTGCGATCCGTAATCGCCGGTGAACCCTTCATCACCACCGATGAAACCAACCGTCGAGCGTCGACAAATTCAATGATTCGGCCAACGGCAACGACGTCACTGACGACATTGTCAACATCACAACGCAACAGAGCACAAAGCACAGCAACGGCAACACAACTCCCACCGCCCACTGCTCCTCCTACCAACCCATTACCGCCTGTGCCATCACCGTCATCCTCCACCATGCCATACACGAGCTCAACATTGCAACAACAACAACAACAACAACCTGCACGTTCTGTTTCGACACCTTTACTCCATCGCCAAAGCTCGAGCGGAAGCACGACGATCAGCGACATTCTGAACAGCAACGGCAACTTCACATCCGACCAGTATGAAAAGATCATCCGCTCACTACAACGGAAAGCGCAGGTGGCAGACAATGATGTGCGGGCGCACCAGGAAGTGATTAGCAAGTTGGAAGCACAACTGTCACGCTCTGAGACTGCAGTGCGCGATGTGAAACGGCAGCTGGAGACGCTGAATCGCGAAAAGCAGACGTACATCATGGAGATGGAGAACCTAAGGTCACAAGTGACAAGGGCTCAGGATGATGCCAGTGTCGATTTGGAACGCGAGGAAATCAAAAAGCTGCAGGATGAACTGTCGAGTGAGCGCGTACTGAAGGAAAAGGCAGAAAAGGCGCGTCATATTCTAGAGCACCGGATGGAAGAGCTCATGTCCAAGAGAAACAAGTTTATGTGTTTCTAGTGACGATAGCATTTTCCCCATCATCATCCCCTCCCCTCCTTCCCAACACCCATCTTTTTTTTTTTGTACAGTTAGTATCCTCCCTTCTTAAACACACACACACATTCTCTCTCGCTCTCAATATTCTATAGGCAGTAGCAGTAATACCTCTCTTTTTCTCTTTAACTTTTCTGTAAAATGTGCCATTTTCTATATACTCTTATATATATTTCACCCAAGATCTGTTTTTCTTTTTTATCGCGATTGCCACGGTCCACAAACATTGAAGCGTAGCACTTTCTTTCTTCTTAAGTATGTTCTAATGTTCTGATCCGATTACTTGGATCAGTTGTGGCGCCACCTTCGCACATCAATATACACTAATTTGTTTCGTGCACCCAAGTAATAGTCGCGTGATAATATGATAGTAACCAAAGCAAATATCGATGATGGCGTTTTTTGAAGTTGTTAAAGGCGTATGGTCGGAAAAAGATATTTTTAAGCGGCTTTTTGACGCGTAAACATAATACCTTTGCAATCAAATTCGGGCATCTAAACAAAACACTAAGAAGGAAAAAACGATGACGCAGCGAGCACGCACGCACGCTGAAACGGATATTCTAACCATGATTCTAAGCTCTCGCGTTTGATTTTTAGATATCCATAAAAGAGTGTCTAAAAGGCTTGAAAAAGCTTACAGAACGACGTCGTAAAAAAATAACCTTTACAATAGCAATCAGCAGGCCACATATAAGCGTAAGGGGCATTTGGAAGAAATAAACAGGAATTCAACGTATTTTGCTTGTCATAACGATACTGTTATTCATAAGATGCAAGTTGTATATATATATATATATGCGGCACCTTGGCACAGTTCCAAACATCCGATACGCATCAAAAAGGAAGATACCCATTTTTTTCGAGCCTATTGTTTTCTTCATGAATCGTAGATGCAAAGGATTATCAGAAGAATTTGAGCACGAGACAAAAGTTGACATTGATGCCTGTCTCTAATAGAAAAATGATGAACGGCATGTTAATCAAAGATACAAGAGGCAATAATAATGATGATGATGATGATGATGACGTGGGTGTGTCATTAAAGAACATTGTGTCGATTTCAACGTGTACATGGTCGTTTGCATTATTCAAGATTTGTAGAATCGTACTTGTTGGCTCTTGAGCTTGACATCACGTAGTGGGAGCTTGAAGCAGAAGCACATTGGAAAATGTGATGCCCGCCTCTGGCACAGCGAACAAAAAAGAAAAAATGCTGACGACAAGTTATCAAGGCCGTTTGAGCCTTTTTGAGTACCATACAGAGTCCTGTTGGAAGGTCGTTTCCGGGAGGCTATCAATGGCAGCTCTTTTGGGACCATCTTGGCCTTTTTTTTTTCAATCATGTTGTTCATATAGAGAGACTTGTACGGAAGAATCCATATTTTGGCATTTGCCTCATTGATATACAGTTTCTCGGCTGCTAAAAAGCTCTACTGCAGATCGAGAGTCCAAAAAACCTTATCTTTACTGTGCTGTCAAAAAGAAAACCTCTATTCTCTTTCTTTACAGATTGCATATTTACCGGCCAATATTAAATGGCTCTGTTTTTTATTTATCTAATAATAGAACACGTTCTTGTTCCTTAAATGCCTATATATTCTTTTAAACGCGGCTGATGTTTCAGTGTGAAAGGCAGAAATTAGAAACCCAAGCTATGACGAAAATGACGAGCGACGACGATCCGCCCGCACCACCCCCACTAAAACCTACTTGTCAGGGCAGCGTATCATCATCATCATCAACATTAAAAATTTTACGAACCGCCTGAATATCCAGAAAAAACCTGACGACCCAATCTTCTTTGGGCAAGGTGGTGTTGCGGATAGGCCTTATCGGATACGCAATCAAAGAAATTTAATACAAGATTCGAGACTTCCAAGTATAACGATCGCCTCTCTGTCTGTCTGTCTGTCTGTCTATCTCTCTCTCTCTCTCTCTCTCTCTCTCACGTTTTCCATCCTATTCTTGTCCGACCCTCACTGATATGAAAAAAGGAAGCCCATGCATGCATGCATGCTGTCAAGTTAGAAAGTCGCACGTTTGTTAAGAAAAAGACAGACAGACAGAGAAAGGGCACGTGCTCAGCTTTGTGTGAAAAACGTGCACACTACTTTGCCAAGATGCATTTTCTGTGTTGGGTGCTAAATGTGATAATGAGATGAGAGAGTGTCTCGGTCGGGCTTTTAGTATTTTTGGAAAAAAAAAATGCACGTCCAAAGCGCACGGTATACGAAAATCTCTCGAGGAAAAAAAAAATCAAAAAAAAATTTCCGCAAGATCGACACACCAGATCCAATGGCCTTGTACACTCCATCTCGATAGACTGCTTTTATCGTAATTTACAAGCGAAATTTTTAATGTTGGAGCCCCGCTCGTCCAGATGGGCAAGCAAAGGAAGGGTTGGACAAGCGCTAAACCAAAAGCAGTGTGCTACATTTATGTGTGTTTGTGACCTCTGTGTGTGTGTGTGTGTGTGTGTGTCTGCCTATTGACTCTGAGAGTTATTATTTATTCAAAACGACCGGTCCGGTTACTGCCTTGAGGACGAGGGTTGGACAAGCGTTAATTTTGTGTAATGCTGCGTCTGTGTCTATGCGTGTGTGTATATTACCTACTACCTTAGCCGGTAATCTAATATACATACTGCATCAAAGTGCAGCAAAAAAAAAAAGAAAGAGATGACGATGATTTGCAGCAGTATCTCATTGATTGCATGCATGGCAATGCATCTTTTTTTTTTCCTTAGATTTACCGCGTATTCATCTAGAAAGGCGCGTAGCAGCTCCATATCTCCATCATCATCATCATCGGTCGTCGTCTTTGTCGTACGCAGGGTCATGAAACCGACCTTGATTTATATACACACACCTCCAAGAACCTGGCCCCCACCCCTGTGAAATGACCCGTGGTCCCGATAAGATCCTTTACGTATAGAGCACTATAAAAGCGGGGAGGGGGGGGGTTAATAATTTATCTATCTATATATATATATATATATATATATATATAAAGAGATAAAGAAGCCTTTTACTTTTTTCCTTCGCGTGCGGTCCTTTTGTGTGATCTTTTTATTTTCGTCACTACGGTTCAAGTTTGTGTCATGACACGTTACCTGGTGTCGTGTGAGAGTAAGAAAAGGTTAATAGCTAAACATTCACTATCAACCCTGGTCCATCGATATCATGTATGCCTTCTGGGGCAAATGAGGCAAACAAAAAAAAAACCACCATAATTACTATCATGGCTTGGGAGTTTGAACTATAATTTGCTACACAATTAAGGTAACCTTGCACTACCTTGACCGAGAAAATCATGCTCTCTTTTGTGCCAAAGCTTGAGTCTCGTTGCCATGATAAGGGCGCGGCGCGATGATAGTAAATAAAAAAAATAAGCTCATGGAAACAAGGTTTTCCGGAAGCAAGAAAAAGAGAGAGAGAGAGAGAGATCGTTCTTCTTTTTAGTGACTTGATGCTGCGAAAGTGCTTCTGTTCAATCTATCGAGATAGCGAGGTAGCGAGATAGCAGCAACAACAGCAGCAGCTATTACAAAAAAAAAAAGAGACACCTCTCGCCCTAACTTTCTCTTATCAACCTTTGGCAACAATTTATATAAATAAGCTGTCAAATAGGGCATTTATAGTAGATGGTTAAATGGGGTTCGTGCTCTTTAATAAATCTGGGGGTGGGAGGTGGGGGGTTCTGTTGATAGAGAGAGCGAGAGAGAGTCAAGGCCATTTGTTGCCATAGTAAAGTGTTGCCATGGTAAAGAAATCATTAAGACTGCAAGATAGATGTATATTTATAGACTTTGCATGCACTTTTCAATCATGAGCCACGTTTACTGTGGACCCCAATTTCCATTAACTCGCTATAATAATACTGCTGCTGCTACTACTACTACTACTACTGCTACGTAGCTCATTGTCTTACATTGACGGGCGAGAGAAGGAAAATCAATTTTCATGCGCATTCCCTATTTGGAGTAATCCCCCTTGCACCTTGTATCCCACCCCAGCTAGTTAGTAATAAAAGCAGTAGTAGCAGTAGCAGCAGTAGTTCTCCTTTGATCCTTATTACCAGCACCCACCCCCCCCCCCAAAAAAAGGTAAAGCGCACAAACATGACGCTAAAAGAAAACATATATTATTTGTTTATAGGATCTCCTCCCACTGCTCCTTAAACACTCTAGCAACGGTTTTTTGTAGTGGTGAGGAGGCTACAACAAGGTTTGAGAGGAGTTTCTCTGCTTTGCACACAACTTGATGATTTATATATGTATGAGACGATAAAAAATAAATCAAAGAAAGTTTCGGAGCGGGGAGGAGCTGTCACCGCTTGTATATAATACAGGCACGGCGTAGCCAAAAAAAAAAAAAAAAGCGGGAAACTGGATCGTTTCCCGGAAAGACATAGCAAGAGAGAAATTTACTGAAAGCGAAGCACGAGGTCATGTATAACCAATGGGTCGTACACATAGTATCGTGTGTGTGAGTATTTCTTTAGGTGGGTTAAGAAAGTATAGATGCCGCACCTGTGCCTCGCGGCACACACAAGAACGGACGAGCGGCACGACAAAACAGCCAAGGAACGAGCCCAAAATAATTGTCATGCCAACTTGTGCTGGGTTTTGGTGTCTCTCTCTCTCTCTCTTTTTACTGGGTGACCATCAGCATGGACAGCAGTTGAAACGGGGTGCGTGATATATTTTCGCTTGTGTTGTTCTGGACAACGCAGGCAACGGCTGGAAAAAGTCAGAGATCGAGGCATAACCTTAAAGAAAAGGCCATCTCTCTCTCTCTCTCTCTCTCTCTTTATCCACAGCACAGTTTGCATATTTGAAGCGAGTTGCGGGTGTGAATGGAAGTTCGCGAAAGAAAGAGAGAAGATCAGATAATATATGATGTGGGATAGCCCAGCACAAGCACACACACACACAACCCAGACTGCAAGAAAATTCAAGGAAGGTAGGGAAGGCTCGGCCATTGAATATAGTCTCCCCATCGATCAGCATCCCAAACCCGTTCACTTCAATCAAGCGTGACATTCCAGATAGTCTGTGTCTGTGTCTGTGTCTGTGTCTGTGTGAGGAGATCATTATCACCACTGACTCTGTGTCGAATAGGAAGAAGGTGTGGTAAGGGCGGAGCACAACTTTCTCTCGCATTCTCACTCTTACTCTCACTCTCACTCTCATGATTCTATTTAAGATAGTCAGATAGATAGAGACAGGATGTAGGCACGTAGTCTCAGTGAGCCCGCCACCAAGTGCTGCACTAAGAAACAAGGAAGGAAGGAAGGAAGTATGGCTCAGTCGTCGACATGTAGAAAGAAGCTATTGACTCTCACAGGGCTGCGCTCAGACAGGCAGTGTGTGTGTGTGTTAGCTAATAAAAGTTTGAGTAACCGCAAATAAATTTCGGGTACGGGTTCACGAGCAAAATAGAAACGGGTGTGCTCTGCTGCACTAGGCCAAATTGGCTAGTCTGATTCTGTGTAGACCTCGCCCTCTCCCCCACCCCCAAACGAACTCCCACCCCCCCCTCCCTCCCCCTCTCCCCCCAGAAATTTCCCCTTTTGTACCTTTAGCTGTCCAAACCCGCTAATACACTACACACCCACACACACTGCCCACACACACTACCCACACACACACACACACCTCTGGGCCTCTCTTTGCACGATCCCTATAAATTATTACACTTTCCATCATCGACCCTCTCCTTCTTCTCTTCTTTTTTCCCCATTTCTACCTCTTTTTCTTCTTCTTCTTCTTCTTCCTCCTCCTCTTCTGCTTGCTTTCCTTCTTGGATGCATTGATCGCTCTTTATTCTTTCATTCTACAACCTCTTCTTACCCACTGCTACGACTGCACCTTCCCTTTGTTCACACACCTTCTTATCCTCCAGTTCCCCGATCATCATTAGCATCATCTACTCTCATCCATCATTACCACCACCATGAGCTTCCAGCCAGACCAACAGCAACCATTCGACTATCCTGTCCATCGTCCTGCCCTTCAGCACCGGATCACACCACGACAACAAAAGGAAATGACCGAAAATCAAGTCATTGTGCCATCCATGTCCGCCGCCCTTGTTCCTCCTTCGAGCACCTTTGCCTATTATCATGCAGCAGCAGCAGCAGCAGCAGCAGCAGGTGGATACTACCAACTGCCTCCATACATGGCCCTTCCCAGCCAACATCAACATCATCCTCCTCAGCATCACCACCAACAACAACAACAACGCCAAGTGGTCTACTCTACAGTAAGTAAACTTTTAAATTTACCACACCTTCCCATACTTTGGGGGGGGGGGGCTTGGCATTGAATTATATAAAAAGATGAAAGGGTCAGTGGGTTTCCATTTTTAACTCACATTGATCGAATTTGTTTCAAAACAGCCAATCCAGCACCACCCACACCATCATCATCATTACCATCAACAACAACAACAACAGCCAGTACATCACCACGTACCGTCTCAACATCATCATCACCCTCATCCTGCTGTAGCCGTACATCCTCCGATCCATCATACGCTTGAAAATGCCACCATCACCTACGACACCGTGGCCGAACATCGTCTCCAACGCGACCTGGTCAAGGACGTCTTCTTTTCGCCCGCAATGGCACGAGACTCGGTCGAACCCTCGTCCTCGGGCTCCTCGATCTCATCCCAAAGCGACAGCGAGTCCGATTCGGTCGATGACCAGAGCAGCCAGCAAGACATCCTATTCTCGCCCCACGTCAGTCCATCCGACCTTTTGCAAGATGACGATCCACTCTTTTTCATTGGCCTTGATTTTGCTCAAGATGAAACCACCAAGAAACAACAACTTTCCCTCAGACAGCTTAGTCGCAAAACAACAACACCTTCTTCTTTGGATTTGCCTACCCCGCCTGCCAGTGTTGATTTCTCCGAGGAAGAGTATGTCCAACTTGGCCAAGATATCCTAAAACGTCATCGCCATCGATCGGCCCGTACTGCTTGTTCTGCGGCTGCCACAAAGAAACTTAAAGTCATGCCATCTGATAAGATGACTCCGCCCGCATCCCCCGGTATCGAGTATTTTGATGACGCTTCGGCTGAAGAGTCTTCAGATGAAGAGGAAGATGAGGACGTGGATTCACAGCATGAGTATGTGTTGTCTATTTACTATTGGGGAAACGGAATGTAACAAATCACGTGTGTGTGTGTATGCTGTGTGTGTGTGTGTGTGTGCTAAAAGGAAAACTATATATACTCACCATACCCCCTGTTTATAGCAACTCGGAACAAGTGGTGGACCCTGTGTTCTACAGCTATCACCCTCAAGCAGTAGCGGATTTCCAATCGATTTCAGCACCCGACCACGGCTCTGACGATAACGAATCAACCTCGTCGTGGGAAGATATCCAGCAGCGGGCTGATATGTTTGATGACGGTTTTGATACCGATTCGACCAGCGATGAGGAGGAAGAGGCTGTGCTACCGCCCACGCCACCCGCACCATCACTGCCTCCCAAGCAGCTGAAGCAGAAGCGTGTCGTTCGTGATCATCATCACCACCACCAAAAGCAGATTCGCAAGAAGAGTGGGGCTGCTGCTTCATTTTATGGAAAGCAACAGGCGTCCTTGCAAGAAAAGGTTCAATTGCAGGAGCAGGAACACGTCCACCAACATCAACAACAACAACCATCCTTGTTATCCCAAGAAGACCAAGAAGGCTTGGAACGCACTGATTGTCGCGCTACTGCCCATCCTACGATCTATCAAAAGCTCACCAAGCAAAATGTCGACTGGTGTCGCTATTGTGGAACCACTGAGGGTGTGAACTGGCGTCCAGGTCCTTGGGGAAAACGGACGTTGTGCAAGTAAGTTTCTTAAAGTCAGCTTATCTCCCACACACAGACACGCACACACACACAAAGGGCACAGATAAGCTAACCTCTCTTTCTGTCGTTTGTTTAGCAAACATGGATGTGATTACAAAGGCTATGGATTCGCTTGTAAATTACCGCGTCTTGATTTGACTGGATTTGCTCATGAAGCCATCAATGACCGTGACCGTCCGGTTCTGCAATTGTTCTGCTCCGTGTGCCATCGTCAAGAATCCTGGACCGGTAATGTCCTTGTCCGTTGCGAAGGATGTCCCAAGGCCATGCATCAAAAGTGTGCTGCTGCTGCTGCCAATGCTGCTTCGTCTCAGGACGGCCAGCAACAGCAAGAGTTGACGGATGAGTTTGTGGCAAGTGACGAGCAGTGGTTCTGTGATGTCAGTTGCCATGAAAACGCAAGACGGAAACGTATTGTCGTCGAGTTGCCACGGAAACGGTTGCCACTCATGTGTGCTCCCAAAAACAATGCATCATCATCATCATCCTCATCTACAGCATCTTCTACATCTTCTTCTACTACGTGTTTTACTTCATCCGCATCCTCTTCATTACGCTCCTCCTCGTCCTCTACTCCTCCTCCTCCTCTTACTACTTTTTCATAATCATCATATAGATTCTTTATATCTGTCTCTTCTTCTTCTCTGTTAGAATATTTATGAAACCTCTTTCTTGCTTCTTCTTCTTTTGTCAATATTTTACTTCTTTATACAAGCTGTTCTTCTCCACACACACTCTTACACACAGAGACACCTATAACTCCTCCATCACACCTCATACACACGAAGAACACCACACCAACCCATACACACTCACACACACATGCTTTTTTCTCCAGGAGAAACCATGTATATAGTTTTTCTTCTTAAGCCCTTCTTCTTTTTTTTTTATATGTAGTCAAAGTCATCTTATACGCTAATCTTAATCCTTCTTCTTCCACTACTACTACTGTTTTACCCCCTCTCTCACATCAAAACACACACACACACACACACACACAAAAGAATCAAAAAGCACGGCAAAAACAAAATATAATACAACACTAATACAAGTCGCATTTGTTTGTTTGTTTTCTTGTCTGATCATCGTTTCCCCCAATTGTCGGATTCCCTTCTTTGGCCTAAATTGCAACAGTAGCGGAATCTCAATTATCAAGCGGTTGCTGTGTTTGCACCACACACACACATACACACACACTCACTCACTCTCACTCTCTCCCTCTCGTGATAGGAACATAATATAATACATATAAAGCAAAAAAGTGGCAGAAAGCCGACCCTTCCTGCAGCCACAATAGCGAATTCACCCCCCCTCCCCAGAAAACCCGTTCGTCCATTGATTTCGTGCCCTTGTTCCTATAAAACACCATTGCGTTGTTTGTCTGGAGAGACTAGACTGAGAGAGTACAAACGTATTTAAAGGTTAAAAGGATTAACTTTTTTTTTTTTTCAAGACATTCTTCCCTTTAATGATGGAGACTTATTCTTCTTTTGAAACAGAACAGAATGGATCGTAAATCAAGGACATCGCGCTCGGCGTCTTTAGAAGATACCAACGAAGAACTAAGTCTGTGGAAACAGATATGCACGTCGCTCGCGAAACTGGAAAATATACAAAAGGAAACAGAGTCTGTTTTGAACAGTATCAATAAAATACATGTTGCTGTCAATTTTGATGAAGGTAAAAAAAATCTGGTGGGGGGGGGATATCACCCTCTATCATGAGTAGTATAAGTGTGTGTTAACGTTTTCTATCTCTATCTCTCTGTACCTTGTCGCATCATAGGCATATCAGTTAGTTTATCACAACGGTTAAAGGATTATTATCAAAACGGGATTAATCTTTCATCAAGTGAAGCAAGGTAACCTGTTTGATGGGACAAAGGGGGGGATTTTTTACTTTCTCACTAATGTATACTCTGGGGTTCAACAATAGAACAATCAGTGATATCATTGAAAAAGTATCAGTATTGATTGCCCTGAGAGAAGCATCCGAGAACGTGAATGGTAAGATAAAAAAGATTAGAAAGATGATCATTAACGAGGTGATCCTTACAGCCATCTTTCTTCTTTGACATAGAACAAAAACGAAAAAAGCGGAAAACTGAAGCCGACGAACTGAAAAGCTCTAATTCATCACCTAGTGGCACATCTGCAAAGAAATCGAAAAAGTGAGTTTTTATATAAAGTAGTACGCAAACACACACACACACACACAGTGAGACGACGCCACAATCAGTATATATAATATCGTCGACACACCCTTCTTTTTTTCTCACTTGCGACCCGTTGTATTTGAGCAGCAGTGACATTATACCACCAGGCACTTCAGTAAGCAGTAATTCATTCCATGTTTATAAAGGAGTTGAGGGTGGGTTGGACTAATCAAAAAAAAAAAATGTGTTGCTAGGTGGCTGCTAAGCAACCGAAACAAAAAGATAAAAATGAAGAATGGATTCTTGCTGTCGTGATCAATTTTCAAGCCGATAAAAACAAGTAAGACTCGATAGATCCCCATTTCACTCCTTTTTCTCCTGATACCGAGATGTCTGAACAGCAAGGGAAACATTTGGTTCTTTGGAAAAACAGATACCATGTAGAAGATGTGGATCAAGATGAATTCGGTCAACGACAGTAAGTTTCTAGAGTGTCTTTCCACATTTCTAGTCAAGAGTTAAGCATTGAAACCATTGTTGTTGTTGTTGTGTCTGTTTTATAGGCGATATTTATTGCCTCCACGAAATGTCATTCCTGTTCCGGACGGTCGAGATACACGCAATTTGCCAGAGCTAAGTGCTGGCCAGGACGTCTTGGCTTTATATCCTGGAACCACTTGCTTTTACAAAGCAACGGTGATTCTTCCTCCAAACAAGGTAAAAATGACATTGGGAGAGCTCTAGCTTCAGCACTATTTACTAACGATAGCTCTTGATTTCAAAAATGTAGAATAAGGATCTTGGCTCGGCAGGGAATTATCAGGTACAATTTGAAGATGATAATAACGAGTTGAAGTATGTATTGCCAGGACATGTCTTGGAAATGCCCAAAGCGAAATGATCCCAAAGTTTACGTCTTTCTCACACCCTCCAACGTAACATCCCCTATTCCTCCTCTCTCTCTCTCTCTCTCTCTCTCTCCATTTGTATAACGTTCCTCCTTCAGCCATCGAACATTATCACACGGCATCAACATTTTACAACTACTACTACTACTACTACTACTACTACAACACGCACATCAAACAAGCCATACTACAACCAACTCATCCACTCTTGACTCTTTTTCCTTCATACTTTCATCCAGTTTCCCCGCGTCTTTTTTTTTTTTATATATAAATTTCATCCTCATGTTCCACCTATCCTATATCTTATTGAAAATTGTTTCGTCGTAACCGTTGCCCACAGCTCCGGATCAACTGGTATACTACTACTAACATACATTGGTCCAATTACTTTGATAAAGTAGGTTGGGCTCTGGGATACACTTGCTATAATTGCTACTGTATTGATATCTTTCGTGCATAAGTATGTAGAGCAAACGGCACTGACAATGGTCTGATGCATGACCTACGAGCAGCTGTAATGTTTTTTTCCGGTGAGCAAACAAGAGGATGATGCACATGACACGTTTTCTTCTAAACAACGCAGATCTCCTGTTACTAACATGCATGGGCACCTTGTGCATGTTTTGGTCAATCCCCAATAACAAAAAACCTGTCAAACTCTGTATGCCAACCCTGCACACACACACACATATCTCTTAAAAGACACCGGAATGAATCACCTCTTTAGTAGCCAGACCGAGACAATGTCGTCGCTTTCTTTCACTGCTGAGACTACCGTGACACGCATTCTTTCCGTGATGGCTGCCGTCTTTTTTAAAGAATATATCACTGGATGTATAACCTACATTATCCTCTGTTTCACATCGGTATCAACATCCCCGTGGGGACCACCCCCTCCGCATCCCAAATGATCAAAAGACGCAAAAAAATAATAATAATGGAATGGAGGGGGGGGGCATTTCTTTATTTTACTGAACCGTGCCATCCTCTACTTCAGCCAATGCCTTTCTGAGCTCCTCGCTTTCATGATCAAACCGTAATCCAGTCTTGAACGCGGCCAGGGCCTCCTCCGCACGACCCATGCCCCACAATGCCTTGCCTTTCCTAAACCAGCCCTTGCTCCATTCTCGCTTTAAACGCGTGACCATTTCTGCATCGACCAACGCATCGACATATTCCTGGGTAGCCAGACGTGCTGCAGATCGATTACTCAGGATAGCTGATAATTCTTCGCGGACATATTGGAACGCGAGTGGTTCCCAGAGCGGACGTGACCAGGACAGATCCACTGCCATGGTATAGAATCGGATTGCCTCGGGGTAATTGTTTTGTTTAAAGAACTTGTTGCCCTCTTCTTTCAGACGATTCACTTGGGCGTTTCGGACGGGGTTGGGTGCGTTGGGTGGTGGTAAATCTTTGACCTGTTTCAGTGATACTGCAAGCGTATTGTGTTCCGACCAGTCAATGTTGCAGTTTGTACAGGTCTCCAGATTGTGTTCCTTGCACATGATCTTGTCACCATCGGACGAGACGCTCACTTCTATTGGGTTCATTGTTGCCATCTTGTTGCTGTAGTCGTTTATAATAGTAGTAATAGTAGATACAGTAAATATATGTATGTATGTATGTATGTAAAGGAGACGAGGTGGGGGAGGAGAGTGTAGTGGTTGCTTTGAAGGGAGAGGAAAGGGCAAACAGCAGAGGGACTCCCAGAGTATATCCCAGTTCTGACTGGACAGCTGGATTCAAAAATATTCAAGAGAGGCATTTGTTGGAAAAAATGGCAGCAGGACACGTCAATCCATTACAGCAGAAATGTTTCTCTTTGCGCGTATTCTCACACATTGGATTTACATGGTTCAACAATCTTGACAAGTTTATTTGCTTTTTAAAAAAGAAAAGTTGCTGCTGCTGAGCTATCCGAACCAGAGGATCGACAAGGCAGAATTTTCCTTTTTCGTCGTTATTTTTTACGAAATAGCTCCTTTGCTGGAAAGCGGGCCGTCGGGGAAAGGGGATCGACGACCCTATATAAGCGTTGTCGTTATTGTCATTCGGAACAGTAGATAGGTGCATACCATGAAACTACTCTTTAAACAGAACAGGACATAATCATTGACATGCTAAACCGTCCACTGATCAGGTGAAAATTGTCACCAATGATTCCCGTCGGTATGATCGCTAGATAGACCCAACGATTAAGCCAAGACGACACTAGATGTCTAACGTGTTTCTGGTTAAAGCGTTACAAAGAAACGAGGTCGACTATGGCCTTCTTGTGAGACACGTATACTTTTGGATGCTTGTGGGGCGGGGGAGGAGGAGGCGGTTATGCAGACACGCTCTTGTATTATTGTAACGCAACAGAACGTGGGTTCGCTATCGAAATGCAAAATACGTTGTGCGAGCTGGGAATGGGGCAGTTCACTGTTGTCCAGTTTTGGTTTTGTTTCCAAAGAAAAGATCAGGAACCCAATAGCTAGCGATTGATAAGCATTATTGCAGCTTTTTTGGTTCTCTTCATTGGCGCATTAACTGACGACGATAGAATTATATGCCGCCATGTGGCAATTTTTCTTTTTCTCTTCTAGCCATGTGCTTTTTTTTAGAACCAGCATCCAATACGCTGCTGCAACTTATCATCGCTCCCGCTATACATATGAAATCAATCTATTTTTGCGAACTTTATAGTAGTTTAGGAACCTGTAGCCAGGCATTTGGTCTACAGTATATTAATAGGATATATGAAAGCTGGAGTATTGGTTCCAGGCTGCAACCCTTGAGCTGTAGGGCCTTTTTTATATATATCATGCATTATAATGGTCTTGGTATTTTAATATGTACGTTAAACGGATGACTGAGAATGGCTTTTTTGAAGAAGGATATAACGACTGATCCCATACTATAAACAGCGTCAAGTGGTTACAGGTGTAAAACAGATATTTATATGAGATCGTGGTTAATATCAATTGGTCGCTTTCTTTTTGAACTGCGCGCTTGCACTGATGCTTGTGCACACGTTACTCGAACATTTGTATCGAGTGGTGGTACACACTTCTATCAAGTAGTGGTCTCGCTATTCTGTGTTGTGCTGCTTATCATTCTACAGACAAAGCAAGACTATGACTTGCTATCCACATACGCACTGTATCCGGCGACTCAGATTCTGCTGATTTGATAATAATAGTATCAAGTTCCTTGTTGTCAGCACGATTGTAATGATTGCCATCACTCTATCTTCGATACAACAGTTAGTAGAGACCACCTCTGTGGTATGGCGTTTTTCAAAGTATACATTGGCATCATCATTACGAGAAACTCGCATTACTGATACTGTAGAATACATGCAAAGAAACTCGAGAATGCAAAGAATCGGATGCTATTATTATACTTCAAGTGCGAGCGAGTCGGGTAAAAAGGAGTCATGGTGTGGGGTGGATCAAAGTGCTCAGCGATAACGACCAAGGGAGCATGATGATGGCGCCATTGCATTGCATAACGAAAAAAGTCATCTCTGCATATTGCAAAAGACACGATAAGCATTATATATCTAATCGTAAAGAGTTGAAGGCAGCTTCTCACCACCATACAATGATAATACAGTGGATCTTTGATTATTTTAAAGCACCAGTTTCTGAAAAAAAAAAGTAGGGTTGAAAATCTAACGAGTCGGTTGAAAGCTTAACGGGTGTGAAATGAACGAGGACCCACTGTAGAAATCATAAATCAATTTCTTTAAATGACGAACAGTACAGCCAGAATATGCTACATAAAAAAAGATGTACGTGTTTAATGTATTATGCTGCTTTGAAAGGAGACGTGTTATATACATATCAGAAACAAGAGTGATATTAACAAGAAACAAGGTTTTCTTGGTGTTCTGTCATTTTATATCTTCAACCATTCATCCCCCCTATCAATACTGATACGGTCAATCAAATCAAGAATGACGATCCGCTCCTGACTATACCACAACAACTACTACATTTGTTTTAGCATTGTGTGTGTATTATTGTCTGCTGCTTTTGTGTGCAATATTATTTGGATATCTTATCATCAGCGTAGCAGTAATGCTACACCGCATATATTGTAGTATCACAGAGCGACGGCTATACTATGAATAGGACGGAAATGAGATACGACTGAAAGTGTCTCGGATGAGCTATCATAACTGATTTTGTGGAAAATGAGAAGAAGGGGTGCGAGTTCATGAATCGAAATCTCTCCATCCGACGACCACTTGAGAGCTTCTTTATTTATGAAGAGGTCGTTAAAGATGTTAGATAAGATGTAAGTTAAAAGTGATGTCGAGTGGGGAAGAAAAGGGCTATTTATACTAATTATTATCTGTTGGTCTCTGATTATGTGACTCTTGGCTTGCTAATGCTAAAAGCTCCCAATAATGTAGTAGAAGCATCTGCTAAGGCGATGAAAGAAGACATTAGCGGGAAAGCCAATGAGAGTGCGGGCAGAAATTGAGTATAGGGCGATATGAAAAGAAAAATCTTTCATTAGGATCGGTAAATAGCACTAACAATGATCATGCCACTACTGCGATTTACTGCTTTTAGCATAACATAGCATGGCGCGATTTTATTGTTAAACACACTTTACAGTTCCTGTTGTATGTTCGTTTTCCTATTCTCAATCGTGTGATTCTCATTTATCCATAGTTTCTAAAAGCATAACTCTAACAGGTATCTGCCAAACGTACACGACGCTAGCTTTTGTCAATTATTCAACTGATAAAAATGAACTGATACATATTACACATCTTTTTCATTATTATTTAGGAATATCAAATAAGATTACTACTGCCTTAAAGAGATACAAGACGGGATTGCCGATTTATTATCCAAACACATGTTGAGGTCTCTAAAGGTATCCATAATATGCTGCGCTATTTGCTCAAAGATTTGTCATGAGCAACAACACAGGTGATAATTACGAACAAAGTATCTTGAGATGAAGATTATAAGCATATGCTCTAAATGCCGTATCGCTTTTAGTAGTGTTGATGGCTTTGTTTACACTGATCTCAACGATTAAAATTATAACTATAAAAGCTTGATACAGTCTCTAAGAATTAGAGTATAATCGGAAAACATTTCATTCTGTTCATACAGTGTTGATGTACCTGTGGGTCCACGGAACGGAACAAGGGGTCCATTTAAGGGGGGAACAAGGGGCTATTGGCGGAGAGAAGCAAGAAGGCGAGTTTTTTTTAATGCCAAAAGGAGACCTTTTACATCAAGTTAAATGACATCGTTGCGTTAGCCCTGTTGTAATATGTACTCAGTGCTGATGAGAAAAGGATTGATTAATCGACGTTAATTACAGCTATACACCCAGTAGCAGCGACAACAACAAGCACAACAACAGTGGAAACCAAGATAACTGCACAATGGGATAGCCCATTTCTATTGTTTCTTGTTTTGATTAAATTGGTTTGTCGTTGTCATAGTAACAACACGATGCTTTTTAAATGAAATTATTTGCAAGAAAGGAACTCTTGGAGCATCCCCGTCTCCCGCGAAATTAAAGAAACAATGATCGATATAATGTAAACACTACTATACTGCGAGTGCCCATGTCCTGTCAAAAATTACACTTTAAGCAAAAAATGATGAATGCATATTATTGTCCCCTTGTCATACATCTACTACCAAGCCAATTGCCTTTATACGTTTTGTATCGAACCGTTTTGTCATCATATCATACCGCTGCATATATCTCGCAATATGTATGTAGAACAGTTCACACCTAATACTACTATGATGTAAGGCTTTCCACAAATGAGAGCAATCCTCGTTGCGATTTTCATTTTGCACCGACACGTTGTTTGTATCATGTGTGCTTGTTTATACACGCTAAATATGTAATAAACAAAACGAATAAGAGACGATAGAGAAGGACAACGCTTGTTGCTTGGCTGACGCGCGCTGTTTAGCTCTGTTGTTGCAAAGAGTATAATGGATGAAACCCGAGAAAGTAAATATTTCTTTTTTTATCCACTGGTGCCACCTGACACGCTTATGTCCCTTTGCGCACGTAGGCCGCAAGTGTGCACCAAGAACGCGCGCACAAGAAGCATGGTTAAATTACATTTTTATACCTAAAACGCTTACCATGTATATCTACTCAAGATTTTTCATCAGCCAAATCTGGACATTTTATATGGCAAAAGGGGGGGGGGAGGGAGGAGAGTGGGGTTTAGCAGGCAAGGGTGAGAGAGAGAGAGAGAGACAAGGGGGTGGAGAACCGTGTACTATTTCTCTATTTTTACCCAAAAATTCCATCCATCTTGGACGCACAAAAACGCAAACAACAACAACAACAACAAAGGCTTAGGTCCATTTCTTATATATACAATGCATGTAATTCCTAAGCTGGGGCTCTTTTCCACACAGCGAGCGAAAGATGATACGTCTGATCAACAGCAACAAGCGCACACATGTGCACACGTGAGGTAGTATGCGCATCACTGGGCGTCGTCATCTTCATCATCATCATCATCTTCTTGCTCATCGCCTTTCTTCCTCGATGCATATTGTCATCCTACCGGACCACATAGCAATAAAATAACCTTTCCCTTTTGATCAACTCCTTTATTTCCAACAGGCCCCAAGAAGAAATTGATATGCAGCCCGGAGTTGCCGGGAGAGTAATAGTGACTGAGTGTCACTCTATTCCTCCTTCTCCTTCTCCTCCTCCCCTTCCCCCTTCTCAATCCTCTCAATTTTGGAGAAAAAGAAAGAATGTGTATAAGAGAGAGGGCATGTGCTTATGTTTATGTGCGCTGTGCGCAATGCGCAAATTGTGTAAATATACACATAGACCTACATACAGAAAACCAGTCCAGAACTGAACAAGGGAAGTGTTTATATATAATCCCCTTCATACATCTTGCTTTTCCATTTCTTCCTCTCTCTTTTTCATTGTCTCTCTAATCTTTTCCTTTGTGAATAATCTATTGTAAATAAGCCAAAGAATGATCTATCATCAATTGGCTTTATTGCTGATATCAACGTTATTGCTATCAACAAGCTTCATTGCTGTTGTTGTTCGAGCAGCAGCTGTCGAATTCCGAGTCGTAGCACCCAGCGCCACTGATGTTCAAGTATCCATCAATGGCCAGAACACCAAACTCACTGCTCAAGATCCGGATGTACCTTACTTTGTCGGGCAAGCTGAAGCTGGCGACGGAGCCAAATACAAAGTATGTTGTGGATTCTGTTATTATACCACTGCTTTGCTAAGCAAGTGTTTCGTTTTTGCGCTCTTTTTTATGCTCCTCCTCTTCCTCCTCTCACTACCTCCCCTTCTCCTGCCAAATTTAAAAAAATCCAACAACTCCTACTGCTACTTTAACTACTACTACTACTACTTGGCATATATATCATCCTCGCTAACCCCTCGGTCATCAATCCATTCGTTTCGATCTGCTTAATATAGTACATTGTCGGTGGCACTGCAGAAGCATTTGAACGAACTTTAGAAGCTGGGCGCACGTCTACTCGAAATGATTTCTTCAATCGTCAGGTTACTTATGCCAATATTCCAAAATTGCCTTGGCCTATCAAGGAAAATGTAAGCTTCGTTCCTCTTTTATGATCTCTCTTCAACCCCCTTTTCTTGGTCACCAAAGAAGTTATCCAACAAGCAAAAAAAAAAAAAAAAAACTTGTTTGCTAATGAAAGGAGTTGTATCATAGCCACAATGGACTCGAGCTGGTCCGGAATCACCCATGTTTGATACAAACTATATTCCAAGCATCTTCATGACCATGTCGCCTGAAGAAAAAAGTACCTTGGTCCAAACTGTCCCTGCAGATCTTTTCAGCTCCAAGTTTACATTTGTTGGGCCTGATGAAGTACTTGCTTATGAGGTAATGTATAGCTTTGATATTGATGTGTCAAACGTAATTATCGGACGGGCCAAACAATCGCATCAATGCTGATAAACATTGCTGCAATAGAACTGCTCCTTTGGTATTCACGGTGCAGGAAAGAAACACAACAACGACAAGCAAAGCTGGCGCTGGATGTTGCCTGAAGGCAAATATATTTACAACCGGAACTACATCAAGCTGCGCCACATGGAAGAAGACCCTACCCAAATGCGTGAAAAGACCTATTCCGACATCTTGCAAGCGATGGGCGTCTACGGAAATGATGCCAATATTGTCCGTTTCTTTATCAATGGCGAGTTTTTCGGCACCTTCAACATGCTCGACGACATTACTCAATACTCGTACATCAATGCCGTGTTTTACAACGGCAAGCCGCCGCAGCAAATGGGCCCCTTGTACGATGGTGCTTCCGGAGCCGATTTTGCTTATGACTCCACTGGCGAGGGCTACAGCTTTTGGATTCCAAACGTCGATAGCCCTGAAGACTACGATGCCATTGACCCGCTTTGTCAAACTTTGAACCAGACCGATGCAACAAACAATGATCAAATCAGTAAACTGGGCAGCCAGTTTGAAATTGACGGATTTGTTCGTTTCATGGTGATGGAATACCTAGCCGGTCATTGGGACGGCTATTGGATGGCGCAAACCAACGATGGCGCATATCGTGACCCAACGCAAAACAACAAATGGTACTATCTGGGCCAAGATTATGATGCAACGTTCGGTGTCAATTTGGGTGAGCCGGAAGGTGCCGCGTTTGTCGATGTATCGTACAAGGAATTCCCACAGCGATATCCGGGCGCAGTGATGATCAACACGTTGTTGGAAAACCAAGACGTTCGCACCAAGTTTGAAACTTATCTCAAGGATACCGTCGCTGTCTTGTTCAACAACGTTACCCTCACAAATCGTCTCATGAAATACCACGAGTTCTTGTTGCCAGACTTGGAATGGGATCGTACTGTCAAGCAGCAGTCGCCTGGTATCCATTTTGGCTGGTCATTCGAACAGGTTTCCCAAAATCTGTGGGAGCCTGTCACGGCTTCAGGAGAAGGTGGTGGCGCAGATTGGGGTTTCCTCGACTGGATTGTCAAAAAGAGCCAGGCTGTTGCCAAGGAATTTGATGTGCAGATTACTACAGAGCCTGTTGGTCCACCTGATTCTGCTTCTTCTGCATCCTCCAGCGCCGATACGCCAGCGCCTACCGGTGTTCATCCTGCTGGTCAAAACGCCTCTGCAGCAACTAGAAGTGTAAGCGCCTTGTCTGGCAGCATCATCTCGGCGCTGACAGCAATGTCACTTTATTTAATTTTGGTAAGGACCTCGCTCATCACAATAGCAAGACAGCTGTCAATCGATCTTGCGTATATTAACTGTTTCTTTCATTGTTGTTTCCCTCCATTTTTGCATACAGAATTTCTAAACATTTGTAGCACGCAATGAATCATATCTCGGCGCTGTATGTATGCACTGTACATCATCATTAGCGCTCAGCAACAGCATTCCTAATAATAGTAATAATTTTATCGCCCACACATCTTTTATCTTTTTCCATCATCTTTTCCCTGACCTCGTGACAAGAGTAAATCCTTAAATATCGCAATCTAGTTATTACATTATATATGAACGATGAATAGCATGTCGATCAATCATGCCATGTTGAGATTTTACGTTTTTGTTTTGTTTGTTTTCATGCAGCAAATAGCATTTGATTTCCTGCATTGTCTTTGTTCGAATTCCTGTTGACCCATTATCCACGATAACCTGTACTTTAACTATTCCAACCTCGTTGTAAAACTATTGATCATCGTTGATATCGAACAGTAGGGTGAATGGGCAGAAGGAAAAAGGTTGGTTCTTCTTGGACTGGTAACAATAAGGAGTAAGAGGGGGAGTATATGAGAAGCGCTTTGCCTCGGCAAAGGATGATGGTGGAGTTGAGGTTTTTTCAAAACAGGCTGTTGTTATTTCGCTGTTGTTGCTGCTGTTGTTTGACTTGAGCAGCAGAGGGTGGCGGTGGGATTAACGGCACCATGCCTCCAGATGCAGGAGAGCTACTGCTGGATGACGATGACGATGATGTTGCAGTTGGTCTGTTGCGTTTGGCCTAGAATCATATAATAAGATGCATATTCCATAAGATTTCATCATAGCCCCTTACTCCAGGATACTTACTCCAACATTGCCAATATTGATGCTAATAGTTTGGCCTTCTTTCAAACTATAATCCTTCTTTGGTAAATCGTCCGCATGAGCAGCTCTTTCTGCAGCTTTCTTTTCCGCTTGCAATTGTCTATTAGATTCCCAGTTTTAGCATAAACAATGCCTTCAAACACTTTTGATCCCCATAATAGTTGTTATGCAGCATAATATTTACTTTGTAAAGTCTTGCAAAGCTACATTAAAGTCGAATGCATCGCTACGTTCCTGGAAACCCATACCAATAAAAGCATGACGACCTAGTAAACCGGTTAATATTCATATTTAGCCCACCTACTGCTTTATTCAATTTTAACTTGCATCACAATGCTATCCGTTCGTTTCTCATCCACTCCCAAACCTTATCGAACGTACCCTCATGCTCGATCTTGAGCACAAAGTATCGACTGGAATCCAAAACAGCTTCCACAGAATTCGTAGCAGGGTTATACGGACACAATGCAAAAAGTTCACCTAAAGTTTCCCGAATCGTTAATAAGCAAGTCAGTAACTAAATGGAAAACTTTCTTTACACAAGATCAAGACTACTATTTCTCCTCACTGGGGCTTTGCCAATCTTACTCCCCTATCTTCTTTCACCAAGGTACACATGTTTATCCTTTTCTCCCTTACCAGTGTTGGCGTCTTCTAATCGGATCGAACACGAATCTCCTTTTGCCAAAATGCGTAGTCTGCCTTTCCAAAGGAAAGAACTGCCAAGGTCACCCCATTCTGAAGCTCTATTAAGAGTTGCGCATGTTATTTCGTTCATGGTCGTCTTTTCAAAATGTTCCTTTTCATGTAGGAGTTGTGCCGTTTTTGATCGAGATGAAGCTTCGTAATATTTTACCTATAACCTCTAGCTGCTGTTCGAGGGGGGATTTTGTATACTACAAAATAAAAAAAGAGGAATCACGGTTCAAGAACGCCGTTGGGAAAACGAGTATTGACAACATTATATAGAAAGATATCTTAAGTACCGAAGCATTCGCGTATAATTAAAAGTACACTTTCGTAGTCGTTGTCCATTGCAGTCCGTAATATAACAAAAGAAGAACAGAGACCAGCCTGCTGCTATTTTCGTATACTGTTCCTAGCCTGACTTTGAAATAGATAAACTGCTGTCATAGCGCGCAGCATGTTGGTAGTTGCTGTGTGTGGCTAAAGTGGCGCTCTTGTTCTGAATTGCTTGATAAATTGTTTATACACTGGGGTTTAATAGTAAGCCGCCAGCAGTTATAATACTGTATACAAGTCTTTTCGCAAGCATCCTTAATGGTATTTATCTCTGCAAAGATAATCCTCGTCGAATGGTACAATAATGTGGTAATAAGCTCTCAAGTGCTATGATATTTACTCTGAGACATGCTACGTAGCAGAAGTGATATATTCGATGCTTTGGTACCTCTCAGTGCAAAAAGCACCGAATTCGACATGACCTTTCCGAAATAGCACGCATTCTACCGGCTTCTGCAATTCACTTGGCTGCGCGTATCGTTCAAACAGTCGAATTGAACTGATAGGACGCGCTGTCGTAATGCTGTTAACATGCGACATTTTGAGCGTTTCCAGTAGTTGTGGAAAGGCTCGAAAATAGCGTCGATTCAGCCCTCCATATCGCATACAGGTCAGCCGTCTAGGTAAGTTGAAATGTTTGTGTCAACAATCGATCGTAGCATGAATGGCTGTGCAAAGTAGAACTAAGCGACAATGTCAAGCTGACCGCCCGTGTAGCTTGAAATCAAATTGGGTGGTATGAATTATTTCAATCTCTTGTCCTGGTATATCCCTTGAATCAGCGAACAAGGTTTCTAGAGTATGCCGGTTCTTGTGTAGCAGCAAAAACAGAGCTCAAGAGAGTCGCAGCACAGACTACTGTTTGTGTAGAGCGCCGTTAAACTATCGTAACCATTGCGCGTCTTATCTTGTAGCTCGGGTATGAAAAATTCACCGGAGTCGTATCCCAGTATCTCGAGATTTGTTGCAAGAAAATGATATCGTAAAGTATATCACGGAAGTATCGCATCCAAAGTTCGTCGTACTCTTTCGCAGCATTTTATTATTTGCTTCTAAATACGTGGTCCAGTGATTGGGTTTGATTTCAATTCGAGGCTTGTATGTGCACAAGATTTGCCAACCATAATAAAGTCACCAGTCAACGTTTGGACGAAGTCATCAGGTAGATGAGACTTGACAAAGAACGACACGAAGAAAGTATATCTCCTATGATCATAGTGTGTGGATATTCGTCAACGGCGATGATCAGCTTTGTCAATGTATAGCTTGTTAGCCATCATGCATTTGACAGTTAAAATGATAAATTGGTGTGAGCCGTCCTCGCTGCAACTTGTATGAATAGAAAAGCACTCTACTTTCGTTTGGATTCTTCCAATTAGTTGCTTTAGCATATGAAAGATGAGTTTACGCTATGCACTGGATTGCATCCGCCAATTGAGTGTCGACTTTGGTGTCGTCAGTTGATACATTTGCTTCCGTGCGTCTGCACATTTGATACAGACAGACATAAGAATGTTGTTTCCTTTGGTAACAAAGGGATGATGCTGTTGTAATCTTGGTTGGTACTTTCGCCATTAAAAATCGTTTAAGCTATCGTTTTTCTTGCCAGCTGCTTCCTTGCCAGTTGTCAGACATAATATTTGTTGCTCTTGTTGATTAAATTAACATTTTGAGCGCGTCGTTGTATGCTACAATTGTTTGGCGCTGGTACCCGTGATGCATGGTGTAGATTTGGCTTTTTGAATATATTCCAAGTGCTGATTCCGGTAAATGATCGATCCTTATTCAGCGTCGACAAGACACTCCCGAAATCTCCTAAATTTCCTTGAATTGGGTGCGCACACGCTAAAACATTTTTGAAGCAGTAAAACTGCATGCTCGACAGCATAATGGTACTGCTGATTACCGGGGCTTTGTTGAATCCCTGGATCGTCTTTAGAAAGGACTCTATGGTGACAGTATTGATGTGTTGGAGAGGATACTGCAAGATTGCTAGTGGATGGGTGTAACACCTGTAGTTCTGATGAAAGGCAGAAGAGAGGGGAAAGAAGAACAAAAATAAACCGCCAGTATACGTTAATTAAAGAGGAGGAGGAAGAGTGTCAGGTACGCAATGCAAAAAAGAGTATTTTGATGGCCTGTATTCCTATTGTTCAATACCTTGTCGCCATCGTGACGTCATTTATATATGGATCCTACTATTATTGCCATCAATGAAGTATTTACTGGTATCAAAATGGATACCTGTTTAGCCATGAAACAACCGCAGTATGCTGCCAACCAACTATAGCTCATTCTTGACGGATATTAAAATCACAGGGCGACAGCTGAACGCAAGTGTATAGCAAATAACAAGTGGTTGATATGTAATGTCTCCGAAGGTGAAAGCTGCACGATTTTTGGCAGACTGCCCCCCTCCCACCCATTCGAGCCACTCGAGCAAAGAACGAGCGTCAAGGCTTGCTAGCTTTAATGACCCGAACGGCATTCTCGAATCGACAAAGTGTTCCGAGGTGTCGTGCTCAAGTGGCAGACCAATCTTGAACCTGTCACTACTGTTAATTAGCTAATGTAGGAAGAAGAGCATTGCGTCCTTATAGGCTTTTGAGGGCAGCCAATACTATCATGAGTGTATTCAACGGAACAGAAGTATGACGCTTTGGGAAAAGGAAAACCACTGTATCAGAATTGTCCATCCGAGGTTACACAAGCATAGTCATCAACAGGTGGGCCACTTCTCGATTCAATGCAATTACATTGCCGTTTCCTCTGCAATCTGCACCCTCCAGGATACGCTGCTGTATTAAGCTTGCCTCTTGTAGGAGCACATGGAAAAAGGGCAGTGTGCCGTTTGGGGAAATCATTCGAAGGTGTGTGTAACGCCAATGCATGAGTTCCGTCCCTGTGTAACTTGCAAATAATTCTGCAGGTCACCAATGAGCTTCACCCTCACACTCTACTTTTACTCTTATCTTTAAACCTTTTACTGCTCCTCTTGAGCCCATGAAAGTCGTCGTCAAATTTAGCCCAAGTAGTTTTCTCTACAAAAGTTGACTACAAAAGTCACAGCTGGCCGCGACGGCCGCTTAAAGAAGGTGAGCGTGACAGCCAACGACCAGAAGCCAGCAATATACAAGGATCCACCGGAAAAGCATTTAGACACGTTTGTGGTGGTGCGGAACGCTCAGGCCTACCGCAAGGTCCGAGTGGGTGACACTACCTAAGAAGTACGCTACGTGGTGTCCGCTCGCCGCGCCGATTTAGTCGAGCAGTTCCATAAACCTTTTGGACATGCGGGGGAAAAACCACGGGTTTTGATCTGATGCGGAAACGCTGGTGGTGGCCCGAGATGCGCGAAGCTGTATTTGTCAAGCATACTGTGACAGACCTAGAGACAAATTAAACCCAAAGTACATTATTGGTGCCGATGGTTTTCATCCAGTTGTTTGCAAAAAACGAAGAATCGGAATATCGTCGGATATTCTTTGGCTACGCGATTTGGTATAAGCGACATAGCTCTGGCAGGAAAAGATGCTTCCGAACTACCATACACCCGGAGTACATTTGAATGGTGCGAATAAAGTTATGCCAAGACGAGAAGAAAGCGGAATAGACTCGGCCTGTGAGATCCCTGATGAAAAAGGTGTTATTGATCTTGATGGATAATACAAAGCTTCGTGTGACTTTGTTAGCTACATAAAGGCGTGTGCGATGTAATTCCCCTTCGGCAAAAGGAACGGCGAACAGTATTTCCAAGTATGATAGTTAGCAATCTGGAGCCCTATGAAGTAGACAAAAGCGATAAAACAACTCACGGTGTTGCCCAAGAAGAGCTCAAGTTGCAATGAGCGAACGTCTTCACCAATTGTAAGACGTGACTCAAGAACCTTCAATGAGCGTAAAGCGAACGGGTCTCGCCGTAAACCTGCATTTGGCATAAGAGGTATTACTCTATATGCTATATAAGGTAACGAAAATACGCTGCCATCCAGTTAATGTATCGCATCGCTCTAAGAGGAAAAGCACACTGTCTTTGCTCAAGTTGACCAAAACACTTTGAAATAGCCATGCACAAAGACGAGACTAGCCTGTACATGTAGCCTGGAACGTGCACATTGCAAAGGGAAATGTCAGGCTGATTGCCATTGCTTTGGAGATGAGCGACGCGTCGCTCGACGTGTCCAGTGTGCTTGTGTAACCTGGCATGACATGCGTTGACAGGTGACGCTGTCAACTCTTTTTTTGTCCTTTTTTTTGGAAGCAATAATAGCTCGTATCCTACGAAGCACAGAGAGAACGACTATGGTACCACTGTACGCTTCTTGCAATGGATGCCAACGTCATTGTCTATCGACTAGATTTTAGACTTTTGCTGCTTGCTAGTCAGTACGTTCTTTACTCATAGTCTTTTTCGAGGCAAAAAATGCAGTGGCATGTATCCCACATAGGGTACGTAGGCCCTGACTGGATCAGCTTACGTAATATCGCATATCGTAACCCTCTATTTTCAAGGGCACATATTTTCGACACCGACACGTTTGCAAGCGAGCATGACTTCCATTGTATATACGACGTCTAGAGTGCGACATTGCATGGAAACACAACAAAATGACTTACTAGAGTGCGACATTGCATGGAAACACAACAAAATGATTTACTGATACGTGCACACAAGACAGATGCTTGTGCAGTACTGTAAAAACAAATCAAGACGGTGATGATTTTCAATTTTTTCACAGCTCAAAGCTGAGGGCTTTTTTAAATGGTAATTTATTTTTATTATAAGGAAAGGGGAGGGGGAGACTTGGGACGGGAAAGGCACAGCTTACATTGCGACGATGCCTGAAAGCCAGGCACCAACGTTCTCCATTCTCTCCTCCTGAGAGACGTCCACCGGTGCTGCTGCTGCTTCTTGTTCTTCTTCTTCGTCATCGCTGTTGCTGCTGCTCTTGCTGCAGCTGCTCTTGCTATTGCTACTGGCACTGCTACTGTTGCTGCTCTTGCTACTGCTG